AGTTTTGAACCAAAAAAAAAAAAAAAAAAAACCACAATGATGACAAAGACATCGCATGCCCTTACTTCAGCCTGCAGCTGAAACCCACGATACCGGCAGAATTTGTGCATGTCTCAACAAGGTTTTGCCAGCCTAGGGACTGCTCGCCCTATTCCTCAACCAGCCCAAGCTCGAGATTAGCTCTGTCAGCTGAAAAGCTTGAGACGCTTTGGCTGGTCGCCCCTCAGATGCTCCGATTCAACAGGGAGCCGAGCAAACTTTCAAAAATGTCATTCCGCCCGACACCGTTTCGCCGACTTCGCTTGGTACGTTTGCACCGCCGAGGCGCCAGAACCAACCCGACGCGACTATGAATTGTAACGAGCTCCAAGAGGGCGCCAGACCCCAACGATACATCATCAAGCGACCGAAGGCGCTTCAATGGTTCTACAACGGCCACCTGTACAAGGATAGCGATGAGGAGAGACAGGCAGGACGGTTTGAACTGTTTCTAGACTTGTTGTGTGAGCTCGAGGCCGCCTTCTTCCGTCATGGCAGCGCGCTGCTCCTCTTCAACTTCACTCTGCTGACTCCAGCCAACCCCGCCAGACGTCGCCATCGTCGCCAATTTTAGCGATGACCTCGCCGAATTCCCAAATGGCGCCCATCTCGCCAAGTACATTCTCATTTTCGCCCCGACGTGGCACATTTGGGCCGATCTGCGAGAGATCATGAATTCATACTATACGGATGACTTGCTGCAGCGACTGGTCATTCTTTGGGTCATGGCGCTCTTGGTCCTCTACGCCAACAACGCGAGGGAAGCAAATGTCGACATCAACGCCATGCGAACAACCGCTGGCGCGTACTTGGTCGCTCGCTTTTCCACCATGTGTGTATTCCTCATAAGCTCCTTCGCCAGCTACCAGCATCGCACGCAGGCCCGCATCCTCGCGGGCTTCATGTTTATCGGCCTTTTCATCACCGTACCGCTCTTCTTTGAATCCGTAAGCATCCGTGGCAAAGCTGCAGTCGTGGCCGTCATGATTGTCTACCAGGAAGCGACATGGTCCATCACCCTTAGCCCTTGGATCAAGCATCGCCTCAGGCTCAAATACAGCACTGCCGTTGACATTGCCCACGAAATTGACCGCATGGCCGCCTTCTTCATCATCATTCTCGGCGAGTTCATGTACAGCGTCATTGTCGGCGATCCGGCCGGCATCGGTCTGACAGCGGGCTACGCAAAAGCCGTGTGCACCCTCATCATCGCCTTTTGCATCAACTGGATCTATGTCAGCGGTGACGGGAGTATACAGGCCACACATCCAATTCGCCGCTCTGCTTGGACGGCCTTTGGCTTCTTTCTGCTGCACCTGCCGCTGTCGGCGTCGTTTCTAATCGGCGGACACATTTGCGCAATTAGCACGAGGTTGCACGAATTCGAACAAGGTCAGCGCTGGCTGCTCGGTGGTGGGCTAAGCGTGGGCACGTTCTGTCTTTGGATCTACGCGCAGCTGTATCGTACAGATGGAGAGGACTGTCTGATCCTGCCCAAGCAGCTACGCGTGGGCATGCGCTTGGTTATAGCTGTGATTCTGGCCGTTCTTCCAGAGACGCACGACCACTTGACGACCACGGAGTTCATGGCGGTCGTCATGTCCTTATTTGCGTTGTTGATCTTTTGGGAGACAATTGGTGGGTTGATGAAGGGTGCTCGTCTTTTTGAGCCGTGGACAAACAGGCATGCACCGGCGGAAGGAGACTCCAGCGAGGCACTAACCTAATTCATTTCACGCGCATTGCACCAATTTTTTCTTGTTTGCGAGGCAGATAATATCTCGGGGCAGAGTGTGACTCCTCAGGTCGGTTGAGCGCCGTAGCGAGTGCGAAAGCGAAGCTTTGTCGACTGACGGAGCACCTCGGAACGCCACGTTTGCAGAAACCCAGCTGAGCCTCAACTCAACCACCAATGTCAATGTATACCTAATATGCCAATATACAATTCATTTGCCGACCAAGTTCCTTCTTGGACCAATTAATCACGCGCTCGAGTCCAATTTGTAATGGAGGCCCTGAAACAAATTACACGCGCCGTGTCTCCTAAAACCGCCCTCACAGCAACAGCAGCTCTCATCGCGCTGTCAGGCAGAGCATACAGCATAACGCTATACAGGCGGCTCAGTCTCACCAGCCGCCCTCTCATCAAAATGACAGAGTCCGCGTCGGACTCGTTGCGCAAATCAGCCACCATCCGCGGCCTTGTCAATCCCCGCGGCCACACGGCTTGGGAGGACTTACGCTTCATAGCACTTACCGTGCCGGAGGGTGTAAAACTCCCGTCAGAGGAGCTTCTCTTGTCGCGGTTCGTGAGGGTTTTTTCTTTGGCGGGCGGGCGTTCAGTTCAAGAGGATTGGACTGCAGCTTCTGAGGAAGCAGCTTGTTGTTTTCGATGACATGTTGCCCGTTGGTGCGAGGAGCTTGACTTTGCATTAACTCTTGCTAGGTCTCGCGCCAAGCTCTGCTCCAGAGTATGTGACCTCTGTGTCTGAGCTTGCTGCGTCTTTGCCGTCGTTGCTTTCCGTCTTTTGGGGTACTTTCCAGGTCACGGATCTGCAGGTTGGTGAGGACGGGGAGGGCAGCTCGATCGATTTCGTCTATGGCTCTACATTTGGGCGAGTTGGCGGGTTGTCATCGCTTCATGGTGCGCAAAGAGACTGGGGATCAGGGGGAGAGAGTGTTTGTAAGCATGGAGTGTATTACTTGTAGTCCCAAGGCGGACAAGCCTGTCTCGGGTCGGTTTTTGGTTGGGTGTCACAAGGTTTACGCAATGATGTTGTTTAGGGATGCGGTTGCCCAAGTGAAGGGTTTGTTGAGTTGATTAGCCGGATCGCTTTTCTACCGGAGTACTTGTGCTTGAAGAATACTAGGGGGTGGGGGGGTTTCTGGGTTACTAGCATGAGATTCCTCCTCTACCATCACTTGCTATGTACATTTACAACGCTACTTCCGAAGTCTCGACGTTGCCTGCGTTCACGAGTACCTTTGCCTCTCGCCCGTCTCCGCTCACTGTGAGTGCCAACTTCTCCCTTGGCCATAGCGTGACGTAGTTGTCTGACCAGATGGCGGGGTTGACGTCCTCGCCGGCCTTGTCAACAAGGTTCAGGCGGATGAAGAATGCAGGAACGTCAGACTTGTTCTCGAGAATAATGGAGTGAGCACCGCCGTTCTTGGACGCCGTGGCGGAAAGTTCGGCCGTCTTCATCTTAGTCAGGGCGCTGTAGTCGGAGAAGTTGGTCACGGGGGTGTGGTACCACGTTGCGCTGGACCAGTCGAGCACATCTACAGACTTTGTGAGCCAGTATACATTTCGGCTGAGAGCTCGGCCCTTTTCGTCGGACAAAACAAGACGCAGCAGGCCGACGTCCGTCATGTTGTTTAGGCCAGATATTTTGGCGACCTTGCTGGACTTGTTGGGGACGGTGTCGACAGTGACGGAATCCTTGGAGATTGACTTGCCATCCAGCCCAATCAGTTCAGTAGCAACTGTGCGCGCTCCCCCTTTGTCGAGGCTGTGATTGATGATCCACGCCTCCTCGCGGACATAGTCGTATGCGACGTGTTCTAGTCGAGAACCAACCTTGGTGCCAAAGTACGAGCCGGCTGGGTGCAGGTAGTGGTCGAACTGGTTCCAATGCAAGCTGGGCCAGGCATTGTTCAGCATCCAGTAGATGGTGCCCGTGGCTGGGCGGTCCTGGCTCCATCGAGCAGAGTACCCCTCGTGCTGTGCACGAATAGCCTCATAGTCCATGAGCTGGGCTTTGAATATGTAGTCTTCCAGAGATGTGGGCGCGCCGTAACGCTTGAACAAGCCCTCGTTGTAGATCTTGCGGTTGTAGAACGCCGACGTATTCGTAGACATGTGGAACAAGTTGACATCGGGCTTCTTCCAGAGGTCCTCCATCTCGCTCTCGGTCAGAAACTTCCTGAGACTGCTGACCTCGGGAGTTCCTACCCCGGCGCCAAGCTCAGAGCCAAATCCAAATGCGGCCCCGAGACGGTCCTCGGATGACTCCGTGTCGTACCAGTAGTTGGGTGGCACCCAGTCGTAGGGTCCGCTCATCTTCATTCCCGAGGGACCAAGAAGAGCTGGGTAGCCGCGCTTGGATGCGGATGCGATGAAAGGGGTCTGCCAGTAAGCATCCTTGAGGGCATCAACGTAAATCTTGGTGGCGCGGTTATTGGGCCAGAAGTCACTGCCAATCAAGAATCCAAGTACACTGGGGTGCGGCTGCATCATGGCAGATTCATGTCGCATGGTAGCATTTGCAGTCTCGTAGTCGTTGTCGGTCCAAGGAACGTTGGGGTTGATGTCCTTGTTGTAACTCCAGGCCTCCCACTTGGAACAGCAGACGAAGCCGGCAATAATCATCATGCCAGCTTCATCGGCCATTCGGTACAGCTCTGGGTGTTCCATCATGCCTTCTAGACGAATAGTGTTGAGACCCATGTCGTGCGAGTATTTCATGATATTGGCCCATCGCGTGGCGTCCCAGCGGAAGAACATGTCTGGGCTATATCCCGCACCAAGAACCTGGAACGGATAGCCGTTGACCGTGAACATGATGTCGTTGTGGCTGTTGAGTGCTGATGTGACGGTTCGAATGCCAAATGTCTCGTCTGCAACGTCGGACAGCTCGTTGGCAACATTCAATGCAAGCCGGGCCTTGTACAAAGGTTGGCCGCCCCAGAACTTGGGCCACCATATCTTTGGCCTCTTGACATGGTGAGAAACCTCGACGAGCTTGGTCTCCTTGGGTCCCAGCACAAGAGATGTCTTCTGAGACCCGACTTTGCAACCAGACGATTCGGTAATGACGGAAGTAGCATCCACTTGGACCTCGTGGTCCTCGAGGTTCTGCACTTTTGCACGGACAGTCACCTTGGCAGGGTTGGACTCGACTGGAATCAATATATCGATGGACACGCTCACGGGTCCCAGTGCCACAGGCCCAGTCTGCTTCACGGTGATTTCTCTCCAGATACCACTGCCATTGTCAGGCGCACCGGGGCTCCAGTCAACAAAAGTATAAATGAGGTCGAGATTGAAGTCTGAGGGGTACACATTGACGGCAAGAGCATTCTCGTTGCCTACATGACCAGTGATATCGTAGGTATGACCACCAAAAGAGCCTGCCTGTTCCTCTTTATCTGCAATCTTGTCTCCATTGAGGAAGATGCCGGCCCGAGAAGTGATGCCGTTGGTCTGCAGGAGATAATGCTGTCCGTTCTTTGGAGCGAGCGAGAACTCGTGTCTGTAGACCCAGGGGACGCGGAATTGGCCCCAGTTGATCTTGTAAAGGTTATCCGAGAACCATAGCTCATCATCTTTGTACGTGCCCGACTCAATCATACACCCCAAAATAGTGCAACGAGAATCATTTACATGGTTCCACGACGAAGTGTCGACACCAGGCTTAGACAGCGAGGCAAGGTCTTTGCTCACAGAGGACGACGATTGGAAGTCCCAGGCAGGAATTGTCCCGACCTGCCCGGCCTTGGAGGTCAACGGATTGGTAGCCGAAGCGAGAGCACTGCTGCTAGCTAGCAGTAGGGCCACAGCGCCATTAAGTGCCATCTTTCGGACGTGTCAGATCATTGACGAGTTGACAACGGCGAGAGTTCATCAGTCTTGATCTTCTGCAAGGCCAAGGCACCATAAGTATTCCGATTGAGAGGACTACAACGTTACCCTGGCCAGCCGCCATGGCCCATGGCCCATGACCAATGACCTGGTCAACGGCGTCGGCTCGTCTCTACGGGCTGCACAGCGCTGGCGTGGTGTTGAGTTGAGCTGGTTCCCACGTCGGACCAGCGCCGAAGATGGCAGTCAAAAGCTGGGACGATGGGGTTCGGGTACAGATTGGGGGTGTCGATGGGGGGTCAGGGGCCGGCACAGGCTACTTGGCCACTGGCACTCGGTGCAGCCTTCAATCAATGCGATGCACGTGCGACCGCATCTTTATTGCACAAAAATGGTTGACGAAACACAATTCATATTCTGCATCTCGAGAACATGGAATCAGTCGAGGGCGACATTGAGATGGTCAATCTTGGCCTCCCGCCTCGGCAAGTCCAATTGTTCGCTCCTTCCACCCTGATGCCTGCCTGTGACTGCTTGACGGGAGCCCCTCTCTCCACCCTCCACTTCACCATGCAGCACTTTTGTTGGTCTTTTTGCAACACAGCTAACTTTGATGGGCGGAGAAATCACGGCCAGCGCCATCCTTCATCTGGGCAACCAGCTATGCAATCCATAGCTCCCACAATCCATCATTGGCAACAAGACGGACGTCCACTCAGCTGTTCTACTGTCACTGTCAACCCCTCCTCCTGTTGACGACCGGATCCTACTTGACCGGCACCTCACCAAGTAGCCAAGGACCCTGGAGGAACGCCTGCACCGAGGGTTGCATGCAGTTTACGCCACGAGACTCGCCCAATCCCAATCACTCTACCAAAGGAGCTTGCGAATATCCATTCTCTAACCTTGGCTCGCCAATTACTCTTCGTTCCAACTCTGGGCTCACCTTGGTCCAATTCTTCCAAGGCTTGTAGCCTGCAGCCTACTGCCACGCGACTCCATATTGGACTCTGTCAATCACCCCCAGGCGCTGCATAATGTCAGCTATTGATCTGGCTGTCGAGTAACCTGCCAGTCCCATGGCTGACGTCAACACCAACGTAGCATCGCCTGCGAAGCCTCGCAAGCGGAGAATACCGGTAAGCCGGACCGAAGTGGCTTGAATGGTTTCTCGTGGGGTATTGAATTTGTGTCTGGGCTAATTGTTGTTTTACGCCTTTGTTGTAGACCTCCTGTGGTGCTTGTCGCCAATCCAAGGTATGCATGCACTGGTCGCTGCTCAACCTAGTCGCTTAATGTCATGATAGGCAAAATGCGACGGACGAAGACCTTGTTCAAGGTACCAATATAGCCCCCCACGAAGTCATTAGCCCAAATGCTGACCTGACATGTCGGAAGATGCCGCTCCTCGCGTAAGGTGTGCAAATTCGAGGAAAGGCCAAAAGAGAGTCATGAACTGTATGTCTCTGTTGGCAACCCATAGTTGGGTTCATTTGAAACTGACCTTGCAACAGTAGAATTGACCAACTGCAAAAACAAGTCGAGGACCTACAAACAAAGATACGTCGACAGGAAGAGGCAAATACGAGCGTAGAAGCTCGGTCTGGTCATGCCATATCCGGATCGTTCGCGTCACTGGATCATCACACCTTTGGCACACATGAGGCGGCTGAACCCATTGTTGCTGCATCGCCAGAGTCTTCTCGAGCGGGAGCATCGCTCAAATCTGGAAACAGGTCGAGCATCGAACAAATATCGCTACCACGAACGGAAAGATCAACAGTTCCATTTCGCATCAACCTGGTAGAAACACCGGATGTTGTTGTTGCTGGTCTGGCCACTCTTGATCAAGCTTGCTCGTACTTCCTCACCTTCTTTCAAGGCTGTGATAGATATGTTCCAGTCTTTGACCCCCAGTATGATTCTATGGAGAGTGTTCGATCCAGGAGCAGCATCTTGTTCAGTGCAATATGTACGGTTGGCTGCCGTGCGCTGACGGGGACTGATTCCCAACAGTGGCGATTGCTGAACTTTCATCTCAGGAGAACAATCAATGCAGCCATTTCAGTCCCTGCAATGCTTTCCCTAGAGACCATACAGGCACTATTGGTCAGGGCATGCTACACTTCCGAAAGATCCCTTCTGGTTGCCGCAGCGACGCGAATGGCAGTAGACCTTGGGTTGCCGAATGCATATGACAGTCTAATGTCCAGAGTGTTGTCCGCCTCCTGGGGTCCTGCTAGCGACGCAAGTGTCCAGGACGAAGCAATACTCATGCGGAAAACGAGGACCTGGCTGCACATTCTGAATATGAGTCACATCCTTCATGTTGATGCTGGAGACTTTCTAGCACTAGGCTTCAACGGCGATGCTCGGCGAAGTAGAGTGCTACTCAAAAAGCCTCTAATGCGAGAACAAGACATGTGCCTCTGGCCACAAGTTGAACTCAATGCTTTGAGAGCGCAAATGTATTCCCGACTATGCAATCGCATTCACACAGACGCAGAAATCATGGATATAGTGTCTGATGCGATGCTAGACATCAACGTCTGGTACGACGATTGGAACAGAATCTTCGACCCCAACGATCCACACTCTCCGTGGTTGCTCCTCAACATGCAAGTACAACGCTGCTGGGGGGTCACTATGGCATTGTGTAGGGCAATTCGTACAACTGGTGTCGAAAATGTCGATATAATGTCCCCAACTCAGAAACAAATGTTAACCATGGCGCAAGAGGCCTTGTGGCAGCATTTGGGCATCATTACGCAAGAGCCCCGTCTCTATCTCCAAAATTTACGCTTTGCAATGGATTTTGTGTGGGCAAAGTGCGTGTTTTGCTATCTACTCCTCTTGAAGCTGACCATACTTCTGCCAAACGAAGCAAGCCGATCCGGAAACGACCTCATTGATCGCGGACATATTCTTCTCAGTGAACTAGGCGAAGCAGGGGGCGGCTTATTGAATGGTCATCGCAGCAACACTGGCAAGGTGTATCTACAATTGTTGGAGACTGGCATCGATAAGTTTAGCTCTGCAGTCGGCAATGGGAGGCGGGACCAAACCGACTCTATGCGCAACCCAGTACCAAATAATGGCTCAATTCTGCAGATCGAGGAGGGACAAGACTCGTTTGTCCCTGAGCAGTTTGTTTTCGATTGGGATTTTCCTGGACTTACGCTGTTCTCCTCATCCGTTACAGATACCGGCTGGTTGGATGACATTCTTTTGGAGGCACTGAATGGGACTGACGAGTTTATGGGCTTCGGTTGGTCAACTACGGACACCACAAACTGACCTATTAGACTGCAACAACTCATCATGCAAATATCACTTCAAGCGATGTCTAGTAACGAAATTGCTCTGGCAGAGATGGATCGTTCGCCAGCTAGTATTTATGACTGAAGAGATAAATTGAGTTTACTACCGACTGAGCTCGAAATGCCGGCGACCTTGCTCGTCAGTCCTGATAGCACGAACTTCCATACCATCCTCTGAAACAACAGCTCTCAAGTCTCCAGCAGGAAGAATCGCGACAAGTGTCTTCCAAGGAGCGACGAAACCCGATTTCTCTTCCCGGATGAAATGGATGCGCACTTGAGATTCCGTAGCGTTGTACGAAATAGTATACTTGGAAATCTTGACCTTGGACACAGTTGACACTCCGTCATCTTCGTACCAATCGCACACATACCAGTCTTTAGCACTTTTCCCTGGCGGAGGAAAAATTTCGACGGCGCGGTAGTCATCTAGGGGTAAATCGGCCACATTTTCCTTTTCTCCCGGAGAAAGGACTTGAACGTCACGCCCAATTGGTATGACGGTCCCGACTTTAGCAAGGACTGGGATGCCAGCCCCATGCCATTCCGCATCGATTGTGATCCACTGGCCAGACTGAAAATGCTGGTATGGTGCGTTGAGATTGAGGAATCCTTCATCAGATTCAGATTGTTTCGGCAGATAGACTCTGGCGCGGCTTACGCCTGGTTCGTAAACACCTCCAACCAGGATTGAATCGCCAAGCCAGTATTGACACTCGCCATCCATGATCTCGGGAGTCCAGACTTCGGGATCAGACTCATATCCCCAACCTGTCCACCTTTGTGGTGGTATGGCCGTTTGATGACTCACCAGCATAAGCGAGTATAAATAAGGTATCATTGCATACCGGCGCTTGATCGCTTTTCTGACTAGGTGTGTAATTGATGGGTGCATCCATGGTTCGATGACATCGCCAACATTATTGTCATCTCCAGTCTTGAAGCAGTTGATGGCAAACCGGGGGGAATAGATACCAAGCTGTACCCATCGAAGCAACAGCTCGGGAGATGGCTGCGGCCCTTCGAATCCACCAATATCATGGCCGTAGCACTGCATCAGACACATGCCGGCCGTGAGTGACAATGCGTTTGCACCTTTCATGCCTGACCAACTAGTGATGTTATCACCACTCCAGGAGCTACATGCATATCTCATTGTACCAGCCGTGGCACTTCGAGTAAGGACAAATGGTCGGTTATCTGGATCAGCCTCGAGCAGTGCATCGTGCGAAGCTTTGCCATGTAGCTCTGTATGCAAACTGCGTCCCCAAAGGCCGACGTCCCGACGCCCCTCGAGACCCTCTGGCACTTCTAGGGAGGGCTGGTCTAGAGCGCATTGCCAGCCATCGTCGGTAATCGCGTACTCATTGTTGTCGTTCCAGATACAGTCAATGCCTTGCTCCCGAAGTTTTTTAACTCCATTGAACCACCAGCTAAAGCCGGCCGCGGAGGTGAAGTCGATGTGACCGCCCTCATCACTTTCACCACCACCAGCACTCCAAAGGCGGGTGACGGCTGTGGTCTTCGTGTGAGGGTCTGTGAATAAAGCCCCTGAATCCTTGAGCTTCTGGTATTCTGGGTGACTTGCCAAAACATAGGGTTTCACATTCGCAATTAATCGCATACCGAGCTTGTGATATTCCTTGATCCATCCTTGCGGGTCTGGGAAGCGATGCCGGTTCCATGTGAACACATTCCTCGTCTTGGGCTCCTGTTCTGCAACAGTGTAGCCCGAGGACATCTGATATGCAGAGCAGGGTATGTCGTGCTCTTTCATTTTTCGAGCCAGCTCGAGAAGTGCCTCGGATGCAGGTGGATCGTCGAGCATGGAATACTTCATGCCTCCAGACAGATAGCCGAACGCCCATCGAGGGACCAGCAACGGGAACCCGGCGAACTCGGCATATGTTGTGACAATATCTTTCAGAGTCTTGCCGACAATCACAATCTCTTCTAGACCACCGTAGTCCTGTCGATACACCTTGTAGTGTCCCCACATGCCGTCCATTTCGGCACCGATAGAGTATTTTCCCCTCCCATGACTGGTTGAAAAGAGCGCAACGCAGCCGGCGGGTGTTGCATTGATGAGGAGCGGAATATTTTTGTATAACGGATCCGTCTTGTAGACATCGTAGCCAAAGCTGTCCGTGGCGGATAGTTCGAATCGTCTACCTGACAAGTTCATGGGCGCGGCCTTTTCACCAAGACCAACGTGTAGAGTCCCGCGCTTATAGCGGGAGTAGTGCGCAATGCCTTGCCCATCAACGACATAGGATCTGTGAGGAAGATCGCTATGTAGTGGCTCCTTGGAGCCGGCATATGAGATGCCGACAAGTGGTGAAGATTCGGTCCAGTCAACATTGGCAACGATGTCCCCAATGCGAATCTCTTTGCTGGTACCGCCGCCCCCAACCAAAGTATTGGCCTTCAGGACCTTTTGTTCCGAGGGTGGAATTATGACACTAGGATGAGGGGGTAGGGGATGCGACTCTGATGAGAATGTTGTTCGAAATACATTGGAGGCGATGAGCTCAAACTTGAAGGTAAATGGCAAATCTTGGCCGGTAGATTGCAGCTGTACGCTGGGCTCCGTGTTGGAGGCACCGACAAGCTCCCAGGCCGAAGGGACTCGCTCTTGCTGAGGCATTGTGAGTAAATTGGAAGCCGAGACTGCCTTGTTTGAAGTCTCTGTGCGGATACGAAGCTTCTCCTAGTGACCGCCTTTAACTACGACTTGAGCCATATATAGGCGTATTCTGGTCAATGCTATGATGAACGTTTCTCTCCGCAAGAGGCAATGAATTCGTCTGATTGATGGCAAGCCCGGATCTACCTACCACTTGGCCACGTTGAGTAACAGACCAGCTACTAGGAACCGGATATTGACACAGATGTCCGACCTATGGGGGGCGTGGAGGCTGCTTTGTCCCTTCCAGAGTCATGAGCCACACACACTATGGAACGATACTGACTCTCATTCTCCCGTTTAACCGTCCAAAATCGTACCAGACCGGAGAAGTGCTTGCTTTGTCCGAATAGCTAGACCACCCAACCCTCGGAGATCAAGAGTCAGCCCCGATCGGAGAAATACAATCATCTCCGGTGGCGCCCAGCCAAGGACCCAGCAAGCCAGCAAATACCGGCCTTGGGCCCGCCTTGTGGCACCAACTATTTCCCAGGTTTTGTATCCCCATGGGGTAGACAAAGTCCGGGGAAGAGATGGCAGTGTCAACGTACGATGTATTGGGTGTTGGCAACAAGCCCACTGCGCTGGACTTGGGTATATATGGCCACTGACGTTTGCTCCTCGATCGCCATCGGAAGCGAATGGATTTGAAAGCTTTTCTTTTCTTTGCTACCCTCTATGCGTTTTGAGTTGACTCACTGCCACGATGGCAAATTCTGGCAACGATTCAAGTGATGGTATTCGACCCCATCAAGAGCCGCAGACGGCCAAGTCCGAAGCCGACGATGTTCCTCAGGTTGACCATGCCTCGAGAATGGACGATGTCCAAATTGTTGGAAGAGACAAGGCGGCACAGTTCCTCAAACAGGCTGACCATCCCGTGGTCGTGACCCCGGCTGACAATTCCCGTGTGCTGCGCAAGATTGATTGGCGAATCCTTCCCATCATGTTGTTCGTCTACTGTCTTCAGTCTCTAGACAAGACGACCTTATCATATGCATCTGTCTTTGGTTTGATAGAGGACACGAACCTAGTAGGAGAAGAGTTTTCCTGGCTTGGATCCATCGTGTACTTGGCCCAGCTGGTCTTTCAGCCCCTAGTAGCGTATAGCCTTGTCAAATTCCCCGTGGGAAAGTTCTCCGCTACCATGGTGTTTTGCTGGGGTGCTGTGCTGTGTGGGATGACAGCCGCCAAGGACTTTGGGGGGTTGATGGCCTCAAGATTGTTGCTAGGGGCCTTTGAGGCCTCTGTCGGTAAGTTGAGCGGTGTCCTGGGGATGGACTCTTTTTATCCAAGGGCGATTACTGATGCGTTTTAGCCCCGACATTCATCGCCATTGTGCAGATGTGGTATCGGCGACAGGAGCAGACTTCTCGAAATGCTTCTTGGTATGCCATGTTGGGAGTTGTAAATATGGTGAGTTCACGATAACGTCATATACCGAAGGGAGCTTGCTGACGTACCGGATATAGCTGGGCAGTCTGTTGACGTATGGTCTTGGCCATATTCAGTCGTCACTGAAGCCATATCAGGTAAGAAAACCGGACCCTCTTACGGCCGAATAATGCCTAACGTGCTTGCAGATCATATTTTTGTTTTGTGGATGCATCACAGTTGCGTTTTCCATCGTCATGTTGTAAGTACATACGACGAATGCCACAATGCACGGTCAATGCTGATGCCAAGTAGCCTCTTCATGCCCGACTCTCCCATGCAGGCTAAATTTCTTAACCGGGAGGACAAGTTCATTGCCATCGAGCGTCTTCGAATGAATCAAATGGGCATTGGCTCCGGGGTGTGGAAATGGGACCATGTGAAGGAGTGCCTGCTTGATCCCAAGACATGGCTCTGGTTCTTCCTCATGCTCATCATTTCGTAAGTATTTACTCCTGGGCGGATATGCCTTTTCAGAATCCTGGGCTCATGATATTTTCTCAGTATTCCAAGCGGTGGCGTTTCCACGTTTGGCCCCCTCATCATCCAAGCGTTTGGTTTCGACAAGTTCACCACGATCCTGTTCAACATCCCCTTCGGCGCCGTGCAAATGATTGCAACACTAGGGGGCGCCTGGCTCGCCGACCGAATCAAGATGAAGTCTCCCGTGCTTCTCCTCCTCTGCCTACCCCCAATCGCGGGCTGTGCAATCCTCCTTGCTGTTGGCCGCGCAGAGAGCGATAGGGCTGTTCTTCTCACCGGGTACTACCTCGTCTCCTTCTACCCCGGCATCTCACCCCTCGTTTACTCCTGGTCCGGCCAGAACACGGCCGGTGACACAAAGAGAAAGGTCACTACCGGGATGCTCTTCATTGGGGCCAGCGCTGGAAACGTCATAGGCCCCCAGCTCTTCAAACCCAGCGAAAAGCCACGCTACGACAGAGGCCTGCGAACAAACCTTGCGCTGTTTGTTGTGCTGGCCGTCCTGATTATTCTCGGCATGGTCCTGATTCGCATCTTGAATGCCAGACAGGCGGCTAAGCGCAGAGAAGTCGGTAAATCCGAGAACATTAAGGATCTAAGCATGCAGAAGGGTGCTGGTCAGGACAATGAGGTGCTGAATCATGTGGAGGAATCAGAGACGGTGGGCGACAGGGCGTTTGACGATGTTACGGACATGAAGAATGAGGATTTCATTTACGTATATTAGTCGGCAATGTTTGGCCTGTCGTTATCGACACGACTTGATGAGAAAATGGCTTCATTGTACACGTCACTGCAAGATTTACCAGCACCGTGGCAACTTGAGCTCGTACTGCTTTTTTTTAAAAATACTACACAGTCGTAGTCCTTCCGCTATAGTAGGAAGCAAAAAGTATTTAACCAGGCGAGGTGCCTAGCAATCGCGCCCTGTACTTTGATATACTAAAATATATTAGTGCGAGTTGGTATATACTCGTTGGGCAAATATATTCAGCCACTAACCGTACGGTGCATCAGGGGTATTTGTGGAAGCTACCGTACAATCCGCTTGTAAACACACACACAAACAAGGTAATCTCCATACTTGTTCAATATTCGCAGTCGACATCTACACGGAAAAGAGTACGATGTCACAGAGGAAGCCGCCGACGTATTGAATTAGCGCTCTGCGAGCGTCATTATCATGCACAGGCTACTTGGCAGATACGGCATCATGTATTACAAAATCAAAACGCCCCCTTTTTTGGCTCTCCTACTCATCCACCAACGACTCTTTTCCTAGAACATGGCAATCGGGACTCCAGCGGGGAGACCAAGGACCTGCTGATTGAGGAGGTACCCGCAGCCCTCGGCAATGACGGTACCATCTATATCCTCGGTCAGACAGTTGCCGGATTTGTTGTCGACGAGGTTCCCGGAAGACTTGTAAGTCCAGGGGCTGGTCTGGTGTCTCTCACAGCCGCGCTTGGTCACAACCGTGCCGTCGACGGCGACGAGGCATTCTCGGCGGCGCAGCAGGCTGCGGACGTGGGCGGTGTCCTTGTCGTAGGTCCAGACCTGGGCGTCGGTGCCCTGGCACGCAGCCCACGTCACATTTCCGGACGAGCTGTCGGTCAGGCACTTGAAGCTGTTTGTGTTGAAGATGGCGCCGGTGGGTGTGATTGGGCCGACGCTCTTGAGGCGGTAGACGGCGGTGCCGTGGGCCGGAACGTTGTTGATGGCAAGTTGGGCTCCAGAGGCGGGGAGCAGGGTGGCTTGGCCTGTCCACAGATCCTGAACAGTGATGTTGCCTTCGCCAATGTACCTGTGGTCGATGCCGGTGCGTTGCCAGGGGATGTCGATGCTGGCGGAGGAGTCGCCGCGGTTGAGGACGGTTAGAAGGCGGTCGCCGTTGGCGAGGCTCCTGGTGAGGACGTCCCAGGTGGCGTTGCGACTGACGAGGGTGGCCTGCTGGGCGAGCCTGTCCTGGTCGACGGCGATGAGGGCCGGGTTGGTGAGGAAGTCGATGGTGTCCTGGGGCAGGTTGGGGATGTCGGCGCTGAGGAGGAGCGGCGAGGACATGCTGCACCACAGGGCGAACTGCGACTTCTTCTCCTCCATGGTCAGCGAGGGGTGGTCCGGGATGAGAAGGTCCGGGTCGTTGAAGAAGCCGGGCCGCTGGAAGCGGGCGAGGCGCAGGTTCTGGCCGTAGTTGAACATGATGCTCTTCCAGCCGTTGCCGTTGGGATACGTCACGATGTCGGCCGAGTGGCGGGCGAGTTGGCCGTAGTCGGCAGCCCATCCCATGGCCCTGTACCAGTCAGTCAGGTTCTTCTGGTTGGAGAAGTAGGCGGGCGCCGAGTCGGAGAAGACCATGGCGTTTTCTTTTGGATAGGACAGCAGCATGGGCCAACGGCTGTATATCTCGTGGTACGTCTCCTCGGTGTCGTCGGGCAGGTTGCATCCGTCCATCTTGAGGTAGCCGAAGCCCCAGCGCAAAAAGTCCTTCAGGTCCCGTTTCTCGTGGTCCAGAGCGCCGGGGTATCCGCCGCAGGACAGGCTGCCGGCGTCGGTGTAGATGCCGGGCTTGAAGCCCTGGGACCTCATCCAGCCTGTGAGCCACGGGAGGCCCGAGGGGAACTTGGCCGGGTCCGCAACCATGGAGCCGTTGGAGTCTCGCTGGCGAAGAGACCAGGCGTCATCCAGGTTGAGACGATCGTATCCGGCAGCGCGAAGTCCATTGTTGGTCATGGCCACGGCTGCGTCGATGAAGATGGTCTCGTTGATGTTGGTCATGAAGCGTGCCCAGTTGTTGAAGCCCATGGGAGGTGTTGGGAGGATGGTGTTGGGCGGCGCGGCAGAAGATGCCAGGCCCGCGGCGGCCATGGCCATGACTGCCTGTGCTTTCATGATGGGCCCTCGATGATTCAAGTCGGAGGGTGGGTAGTATTCATATGACTCTTTGGGTCGGTCGTTGGCTGGCTGCCCGAGGTTTTCCTGTCTCTTCTGATTTATTTTATACGAAAAAGAACGAAAGGGAGTATGAAGAGGGAAGGAAGAAGAAAAGGAGAGGATATACAGTCTGCGGCAGAATATTTTAACCACCAAGAGGTATACACTAATACCCCGTAGTATATTATAATGTAAAGCGTGATATCCAGGTACCTGATCTGGTTGAATACGCTTTGCCTCCCACAGTACAATGGGGAACCAAGGCGGAAAATAACAAGCTTCAAACATACACCAGCCGGCTCAACGCCCCAGGATTTAAATATCTGGCCGTCCAAAGGCTAATACTCGTAGTTCCTGCTGGTCGTCATCCCCACAAAGTGATGGTTACAATGCATATTCGCAGTCCATGGTTCAAAGCGGTATATCTCTTGTCTAATCATTGCACACGGCACCGTCTCACCGTTCACGTCCCACTGGCCTGCGGCTCAAGAGGGAAATATAAGAAAAAAAAATAGAGTTTAGTGCACCAGTCAAATCTGTTTACGTCAATGGCTTGATATTAGTCATGCGATTCATGGTCCCTCGGCCTAAAAAGGAAGCTCGAACCTCCTGGACCGGAAGATTGAGGGGATAACTTGTGAGAAAGCGGAGACTCGCCATTTCCCTTGTTCGGTTGGACAGCGCCATCACGGATTCAAGTGTCAAAATCGTGTTCTATTGACGTCCGTCTCATCGGCCTAGGGCTCGGGATTGTGCAACATTGCCCAATGAGATAAAACCATGACTTTATCAATGCCGGGACGGACGGGTTCTTGTTTCTCCCCGGGTTTATCATCATCATCTTGGGGCAGGTTCTGCTACGGTGTTCACGGATGGTTCTTTTCGGGATTGTCGTTTAGGATGTGCGGGTGGCGAGCTGGACATTATTGGGGGCACGACACGCAACTGTTGTATGCTTGATGCTGAATTAGGGAAGCACAAAAGTACACGTACGGGAATACGGATCTGGACGGCCCCGATTCCGTTCACTCCTCCTCATGGCTTCATGGGTGTTCCTGTGGCTGGCAACCTTGGGCCGCAGATTGGCCAAGGCGTCGCCGTCGAGCCAAGACCATCTCCCGGTCCTTGTTAGTCTTCAGCCTTATGAAGACGCGGACGTCTTTTTTGGCCCTCTTGGCTCCTGGGGCGAGGACGGCGGAACTCTCTTCTCGGGCGGTTCAGGTAGATGGAAAGACGAAGTGTCTGGTGGGAGGATTCGGCCCAGCTTCCGGCTTGCGATCTGCAGCCGGCTTGAAATGCCTCGAGTACAAGCTTTCCCCTCGTCTTCGTGGCTCATGTTGGCGTGCAGATCGTCCGGTTGCCAAAACCCGCCCCAATCACCATCGAATACCCCGTCAAACCGGACTGTGCTCCCGACCTGACGCTTGCAATGTCGTAGTGCAGATCTATGCATCAGTACGGCAGCTGAATAATCACCAATATCCAAGCGGGGAATCTTTGACTGTGCCTGGACGTCAACAAGCCACCGAGGTTGTCCTCGTCACTAGCGGAAGCATCTCCGCTGCGCAGGTACAAGTGACGTTATGGCTTGTCTTTCTCAGTCTACTCTTCGCAAATGTGCCACAGAATGGCAGAGGTCGGGGCTTTCTCCAAATGGACTGGCTGTTCATCCAGACAGTCACATACACGTATTGGAACATCCCGCCTCAAGGCAAAGCCAGCAACGAGTGGACGCTACACACGTCCAATTCTCATCTCGTGGGTTACCACCATCCGATCCTAGGGCTGCTACAATGACCTGAAGAACTGGCTGAAAAGGACCTCGATTTCCTGCATTGCTGGCCCCTTTGATCTGCCCACATAATTTCCCAACAAAGAAGCTTCCTTTTCCTTCTCTTCCGTCCATCTCGGGTTGTAACGTCGTCTTCCGGATCGTCTACCCGCCTGGCTCAAGGAAGAAGCTGAAATACGCCCCGGGGAAGAAGAAGATGACATCAAGACAGTCATGTTTGTCAGAGGAGCGGCAGTCCTCGGCTGGGCTGCGGCTTTGCCATCACTGGCAAAGCCATTCGTTGCCGCCCATCGTGGCAACTTTACCGATGACCGTCACAACTTCTTGCTCGATGGCGTTCCCATCAAGTTGAAAGGGGGCCAGATGGACCCCCAGCGCATTCCGCCCCCGTACTGGACTCAGCGGCTGCAGATGGCAAAGGCCATGGACTTGAACACCATCTTCTCTTACGTATTTTGGAATAATATTGAACCGATAGAGGGTTCCTGGGACTTTGAGGGGCGTAATGCCATTGCCCGGTTCGTGCGGCTTGCCTAAGAGCAAGGGCTGTATGTCGTACTCCGTCCTGGGCCATATGTATGCGGCGAACATGAATGGGGCGGCTTCCCCTCTTGGCTCAGCCAGATCGATCCTCATGAACCAGCTGGAGAATGAATACGGCAGCTTTGGCAAGGACAAGGCCCATCTCCAGGCCATGGCGGAGATGCTCAAAGCCAACTTTAACGGATTTCTCTACATCAACGACGGTGATGGCAAGAGCTATCTCGACGGAGGCTCTCTGCACGGCATTATGGCAGAGACGGATGGTGATTCCAAGACGGTCTTTAACGCCCGAGATCAATATGTGACTGATCCTACCATGCTTGGGCCACAGATCGACGGAGAGTACTACGTGACTTGGATTGATGACTGCTCGAGCAACTCGCCCTGTCAGTACACCTCTGGAAGGCCCGACGCCACCAAGAAAGCTCTTGATGACCTCGACTGGATCCTGGCCGGCAACAACTCCTTCAGCATCTACATGCTCCACGAGTGCACCAACTGGGGGTTCGAAAACGGCGCCATCTGGGTCAACAACCGCCTCAACGCAGTCATTTACTAGTCATGACTACGGCACCCTCTGGACGAGAGCGGCCACGCGACCGGGTCATCGTATACGTTAACGGTGAGGTCGGTGTCATTGACAAGACGCCCGCCACCCCAGCGACTGTCATGGACCTGAAGCAGGGCGACGTCTTGCAGCTCCTTGTCGAAAACCTCGGCCGCATCGACTACAGCCAGCAGCTCAAGGGGCAGCAAAAGGGCATCGTGGGCAACGTCACGGTTGGAAAGGATGCGGTCCTGGATGGGTGGTCTGCGTATTCCCTGCCGGCTGCCCTGACGGATGAGAAAGCCAAGACGCCTCAAATCAAGGACGGGCGCACTCCAGTCCTCTACAAGGGCACATTTGGCCTGCCCGGGGGGCGCGAGCAATGACCTCAGTGGCGACACATTTCTCTCGCTACCTACCGGTGTCAAGGGCAATGTCTGGGTCAATGGCCATTACTTGGGGCGGTGTTGGGTCATGGGACCCCAGCAGAGTCTGTATGTGCCGGGTGCGTATCTGCACGGCGGAAATAAACCCAATCATGTTGCCGTTCTTGAGCTTGAGCCCAAGGCCAATACTGACATGGTTGCCCGTAGATTGGCGAAGCGAGAGTGGGCGAATCATCCTGATCCTGATGCCGCTTGAGTGAAGAAGTGTGACAGAAACTTGATGCATGATGGAATGAAACACTACGAGTACCCCCTCCTTGTTTCGTTTCTGGGTATAATCAATATATTGTATATGTACGCAATAGTTCTTTCGTAAATCGCATGTCTCGTGTGCTAGTCACACACTACCCTCATCATCTGGTATCACTATACTCTTACACCAAGTACCTGAAGCCCTTGCGCATGCGAAGAGACTCGTCCGTATTCTCAATGTACTCTTCTCCCTCGGGCTTGTTGCCGGCGCTCTGGCTCGTCTCGGCAGTCTCCTTCTCCTCCAGCTTCTGGTTGAGGCGGCTGAGCATCATTCTGAAGATCCAGCAACCGACAATCGTGACACCAAACATGGACAGCACAATGCCGTAGCTCTTGCGGTACCCGTTGTCCTTGAGCGCCCAGACGTACGACCCAGCAACGTTGCCCAGCTGACTGAAGGCGTTGATGAGGGCAATAGCGACGGCTCGCTTCGCAGGGGGGCGGGGGAAGGAGGAGCTGATCCACGAGTAGAAGACGATGAAGCCGGCGTAGGAACCAGCCTGGAGGAAGAGGGCGACATAGCGGGCGGCAACGTTGAGCGTGGACATGCTGATGATGAAGCCGACGAGGCCCATGATGATGGGGCCGACAATGTGCCAGAACTAGGGAGGAGGCAGAGGTTTAGTAACTGGATCAGCGCTTAGGGCTTGTTTGTTTAAAAAGAAGTACCTTTTCTTGAGTTCGGTCGGCGTGCCAAGCGTTGATGATGGAGATGAGGCATGAGAATGCCCAGGGAGGAGAGCTCATGAGCAGAGTAGGCACGTATGCGAAGCCCAGAGTTCCGGTGAGGGTAGGCTATTCAGGTTCGTTAGTTTCAAGTAGGTCGGAAGTAGAGAGAAGCAAGCGGGGAGAAAAAATACGTACAAAGAAGGCGTTGAAAGACAAGCCAACGACATAGGCGGTAAAGGTGAGCATCATGACGTAAATCTTGGAGTCGGTCAAGGCCATGATGAGACCATCAAAAGCGCCCTGATCGGCCGCATCGGTATCGGCCTCGCCGACATCCTCAATCATGCGCAGCTGGGCGACGGTTCTCTCCTCTTCGGTGAAGCCGCGCGCGTTGTGAGGCAGATCGGGCAGGATCAAGGCGGCCAGGATGGCGACAAACATGGTGACGGAGCCCTCGATCCAAAACAGCCACCTCCAGGCGGCGTGGCCCAAGACGCCCTGCATGTTGGACAGCACGCCGGCGCCGACGAGGGCGGAGAAGGCATTGGAAATGAGGTTGCCGCAGAAGAGAACGGCGTTGCGCGTCGTCAGCTCCCGGCGGGTGTACCACTTGGACAGGATCAGCAGCGCGCCGGGCAGGAAGGCGGCCTCTATGAAGCCGAGGAAGAATCGGATGACGACCATGCCCGTGAAGTCCTTGGCGTTGCCGGACAGCGTCGAGATGAGGCCCCAGACGAGCATGGCGCACGAAATGTACAGGGACGGTCTCTGGATGCGGTTGATGAACATGTTGGACGGGACCTGCATCAAGATGTAGCCCACGTACAGGATGCTCAGGCACGTGGCGTACTGGGTGTCGTCCAGCTTGAGGTCGTCCTGAAGACCCTTGAGCCGTGCCGAGGCAATGTTGTTGCGGTCGAGGTAGTTCATGATGTAGATGAGCACAAAGAGGCCGCAGCGCGCGTCGAGCTTGCGCTTCAGCTTCTTCTCGACGGCGGCTCGCCGAGCCGGATCCATCTGGGGAAGCTGTGGCATTTGGGACTCGGGCCCGACATGTTCAAGATTTTCCACCACGTTCTTCTCGACGTCTGCGTGTGCCGCAGGGGCAGGGGAGATGTTGTCTCCAGACATGGTTTGGCTGCTTGGAGGGAGGAGCAAAGAGGGGAGAACTAGGACAAGCCAGGGCAGGAGGGAAAGAACTGCAACTCAGAAGCGACGAGGTAAAGAAAAAGTCCAAAGAGGGTTATATACTCTGCTACTAGCTCGTCCATGACGGTACCGAAGACAAGGGGGCAAGGCAACACATGGGAGAAAGAAATTGTCAAAACACCACATGATGTCGCTTCTCCACACTCTTTCCCCGGAACAAACCATAGTCGTGTGGTCTACCGCCGTTTCTTCCCCTCCTTTTTCTCCGCCTTGTTACAAAACAACGGACCACTTTGTGGAGGAGTGTGGGCGGATGGAAACAGTAGCCTCTTATGCGCCTGTGGTGTTGAGCGCCACCCCGTGTGAAGATGATGGGTCCCCGCAAATACGTTGGAGACGTTGGAGAAAAAGACGGGGGTTTGGGGGTATTTCCGCGTCGAATCTTGCATGCCCATGGAGCAGACAGGTCGTGGTTTGGGCTCCGACGGAGTACGAGCTTTGGAAGTCTGGAGCGAAGTCTCCTAGACCCGCATGGTTTCGTCATACTTGTCGTTGAACAATTTGCGTCTCGCTATGCACGGGTTTGATCCAAAAGCACATGACCTGTTAGATGATGCTTTGTGTCCAGGTATGGAACCGCGGGATGAACTTCTTGGCTCAGTACGTACAAGTCTCCGAGCTTGTGAGCTCAGGTGTAGCTTTGACGAACTTCGTATCCCAAACATCGGCTAATGGACCACTTGAAGCCATGTCAATTTCCCTCATTAGCGAGTGGTGTCGCCATCGGCAATTGACCACGGTTGCATCTCTCCAACAAGCAGCAAATCTGCAGTGGCTGCAGCCACCGAGACGGTCCGATTCCCCGCCCGTTGCGCCATTACCTATGTCCGCAGCTCCCAGCTCAAGGCAAAAGGCAAAGCTGCTTGTCAGCAAGTGTTTGCCCCCTGGGCCTCATGGACTCGTGGCTTGCAGCACCATTGGCGTCGGCCGCGGGCGTCGCCGTCTAGGCATTCATGCCCGTGGAACAGCACCCCGAGAGCCTCACTCAACTCATTCTTATTCAGAGTTGGAGAGGCTACTGGTGCTGAGCAAGGGGGCCTTGCTCAGGTGATGACTAGATTGGGTTCAAGGTGTGGTGATGTGGAGATTGTGGGTTGTGACTTGACTCGTGAGATTGGGGTGGCCATACATGTATGCTTTGGTTCGCCGAAGGTCCGTTGGTAAATGGCGCTGTTTCAAGCAGTGTCGAGGACCTCTCGCCGTTGATTCGGCGCTTGATTAAACCAACTCGTTAAACATTACCTGGCCACCGACCCGCCGAGTAGGCATGTATGTTTAAAATCTTTAATTTTTCCGTTTTTTAAGCTTAAAAATCTATGCTTAAAAAAATAAGAAAATTAATTAAAAGTGATAATAATAAATTTTAATTAATTATTTATTAAGTTTAGATTTTTATTAATTCACTTACATATAAAAATCTTAATTTATTTATACTTAAAAAGTATAAGTTTTGGTGTAAAAATGGGTCATTATCAAGACTTTTGTCCAGTGACTGTATATGGATCGGTAGTACAGTGGTGTAGTTCACGACGAGCGGTAACTTGACAAATGCTACGCAGGTTCGATCAATGCCTCGTAGATGCTAAGCCCAGTATCCATGGGTATTTGAACGGAATTTTACCCAGCGAGAAGGCAATATTCTTTCAACTTCATTCATCATTCATCACTGGCTCATCACCTCAACTTTTGGTGCCATTTCAAGGCACATTAGCCTGTTCGCTCTGCTACTTCATTGACTACACCCGCGTGCGGCCGACTAGTTTCAATTTAAGGGCTGGCCCATGTCTGCATGCTCAAATATACATGAAATGAAAAGTAAATGGCTTCAAACTCCAGTTGTAGCAAGAATGCGATCGGGCAGTTCGTCGTGCTCCAACTATTGTGTAAGCTCGACGACGACTCGAAATACATACGCACCACTTGCGAGTTCTGGTCCACGCCACCTGCAAATAGCATGGTTAGGTCGCCATATCTGCCTTGTAGAAGCCATGCGCTTTTCTTGTCTCCTGTCGTACCAAACCTATTCAGCTGCCCGCAGCTTCCATGTTTCGGGCCGGAGCATCGACGGACAGCCAACCGCCAGCGCGGACTGGAGTACGACATGCGGGATGCAATTGTCACCTAATCGTGAACGGTGGCGGAGGCATATCAAGGGGCATCTAGACATTCATCACCAACGGTCCGTCGCCCACCGACGACCCTCTGAGACGTCTGGCGCATGACTTCTGCAATAACTGCCCCGATCATATTCATGGCTAGTTGGTATGTCGCATTTTTGTCTCTGAAATTCGCCCACCTAGGAGGACGATGCGGTGCTGGGTAAAAGAATCCAGCCGAATGTGAAGTCCTTATATAGTCGAATCGGGTTTACAAAGCGCTTCATTGTGCCTCAGCTCTCCTCTCTTTACTTTTACACACGACATCTTTTTACATGCTTTTACCTTAGCTATATACTAACCATAGATAGTCCTTGACTTCTTTGAATACCAAGGAAAGACCTCAGTGACGCAGTCAATATGTCTGCCACTTGTCTTCGTTTTCTCACCCCAGCACAGGCCATGAGGCTCTGCGATACACATTTAACTCGTGCCCGACCAACTCAAGCAACTTATCTAGAATCCGCAGTCTATTCGCCGAAGCATCATAAACGCTACGGCCAGGACAATCTTTTCCAGCTGGCAGGCGTCCTTGCCAAGAAGAACATCCTCAACCACGCCTACCGGGACGGGAGTACGGGAGCGGCTAACTGGCTGCGGATATGTTCTTGAGGATGAATGGTCATCAGCTTCTGAAAACACGTCTCAGCGGGGAGAAACCGTTACGGGACGCTCATGTCGCCGTTGCGATGAAAAAGTGGGATGCTGAGAGTTTGGCCTCAACCTATGAGAGCGTCGCAACGCCGGTCGCTGAATATGTATCTGTTGGACTGGGATTGCGGGCTTGCAAAGGCCGCTGTTGAGACATATTTTTTATTAATAACCTGGATTGTTGACTCAAACCGTGTTTACCGGCTATCTTTACCTTCTCCGGTACGCCAAAGAGATGGCTAGCGCTTTCTCTCGACATTCGCTCAAAGCCCTCTGTAATTTGGGGAGTGAAAATGTTAATGAGACTGGTCAGAAGCATGCTCGCTCATGCCATACTAATCATCAGGTGTTTCATCCGGCCTGATGGCATGCCAGTTGCCGGAAAGCCAGAGCGTGGCAGGGCTGATACTGACATTTGACATTACGGAAAATGTCAACCGGCCCTTGGTAATTATGTGCGAAGCACTATATTCAAACATGCAGTGACCAACGCTTTGCCTAAAAGTTATATGGCTTTGTATGTGATTCTCGTCGCTCTTACAAATGGCACACAGTATGCTTTTTCTATGTAACCTTGGCTTTCTTAACTTTGCACATCACCCACATTTGTTGTTAGACGCCGTCACATTGACAGTTTGGGATTTATGAGCCACTCATTCCATTTCATCTGTGCCGATGACCCCGACCAGATGCAACTATATATACTGCCCGTTCTCATTCAGAGTTTTACTTAGCGAAAGCACAATACTGGGTACTTGGCGAATAAAGTCTCAGGATCGAGAAAGAGGGGTAAATGAGATAGGTGGCTTGGAACTTTAATCGTGAAGTTTCCTAGAATGTTACCGGAAAGTTAAATAACCACGGGCGCTGCTCTCTCTACGCAGACTCGTAAAAGCTTAGGGACTCGACTCCATGCAACACCTTATGCGCCGCATCTTCTCCACTGTCAGTGACGATGGATACCAATAAAACTTTTATTACAGCTGCCAGTAGTAGTGTAATACTAGTGTCTAAAGACTGTGGTAGTATGACTTGACAGAATGGAAGTTCTAGATCTGTGACTTGTACTATCGAGTTGGTAATAAATATAGAGTATTATATGCTCTTCAAGAACGTAATAAGAAAGATAAAAGCACACCACTTGAAAGGTAAAATATTTTACAAGTAAGTAGTAGCTTAAAGGAGACGAGGTTTGAAGTTTTTTTGCTTAGTTTTGTAAAAGGTAAACAAGGGAGAAAAATTGGTATTAGAGTTGAATGAAAATTTAAAGCCAACAAGTCGAGGCAACACACAAGCCAAGGCGTCAAGTTATTCCCACAATTCGTGGTGTTTTATTGGATTGTTTTGGATTCTAATATACGAGTTAGACTCGTGCAGCAACATCTAGACCAGAACAGACCATTCCGACGATTGCGACTCACTAGACGGCATCTCGGCAGTTATGAGCCAGGGCAAGTCATTGCGGGCTCGCAACTTGGGAGGCTAAACACGTATAAATATCTGGCCAACCTCGCACGGTTGTCTTGCAAGATGTTTGATAACAAGCACTATTAATTACAACTTGTTACTACAAATTTCAAGCTTGGGAATACAAAAATCATGCAGCTCACAAAGTTGATCATTTTTGCATCTGCCGCTCTGGGCGCGGTTGCTCAGTACGACGACGGTCTCTACGACGAGGCTGTATACGAGGATAGTTTATACGACAACATTGACGAATACGCCATCGGAGTAGGTCATGTTACCCTTGTGAAGAATAGTAGCGGTGGTCTCACACAACAATGAGCACAGGCAGCCGTCTATAAGAGGCCCAATGGAGGATTTCCTCCACGGTACTTGGTTCAGCACTGGAACAAATGTGAAAAGATTACACCTCCCATGTAAGCCAGCCTAGCAAAAGTTAGCATGAGCATGCCCTTCTAACAGAGTTTGATAGCGGAGGAGATGTCCAATCGATTAGAGTTCCCCATGGCGCTCGTTGCGCCCTGTACCGGTAGGTGCCTTCAATGTTCCCACGTCACCGGAAACTTGGTCAAGTCTGGTGTCTGCTTCAAATTGTTTATAATTTTATTAATGTCTGGTTCGCGCGCATGCAGGGATCCGCACTGCCAACACGTTATTCCCGGCGGCGTCTACGGCCCCGGCCTTAAGAATGTTGGCGGTTTGCCCCGACACGCTCACTTTATCAAATGCCACCACTAAGTGTATCAATGGCCTTGATGCACGCCATGGAGGTTGTTTTCCAGGGCGCCTTCGTACAGGTTTTTATCCCCCGGGGAATGAGTATGTAGGCAAGGGGTTTTCCCTGTACTATAGTGCGAATGCAAAGGCTTTGAAACGTTTCCCTACTACTCGAGCATGTAATGTGACGCGGGTGGCATGAATGTCGTCAAATTACTTTGAGCAAACCCCATGACCAATTCACAATGATCTGTAGGTTTTACCTAGTCTGTATACATTACGGTATCGCCGAGCTCAGTGTGATGCAGAACCAAGTGCTCATGGAAGATGCTATGTGTCGTGTAAGCCGCAACTACAAACTGCGTCCTCTTCAATCATCGTGTGCCACGCCCTTGGGAGTCGTCCCTCAAAAACTTTGTATACCTCTATAAGACCGCCTGTCAATTACAAATTGGAGGCGAATCGTTTTGGAATGACCTCTGTCAGGCCCGACCCGATGAGTCTGGTTGAATAATGGCGGATTTGATGGCGTTCCCTACCTCGGGCTCAATGTGCACGTAGCTCTGTTTAGGCCCGCCAACCATGATTTTGGTGTCGTAGGAAACAGTTGTGCCCATTGAATCGGCCATGGCGAACTTGGCCATGGCTCTGTGATACAAGGCGACACCAAGTGTGCAGCCCAATGACGCCTTTTCCGAGACGTAGATGGAGCGCTTGGCAGCGAGAGAGCATCGTGTTGAATGGATGGTTAGACAATGTCTCTTGGGTTGCAGCAGGCGAAAAGTAAGTAAGCAAGATGTAGCGATTAATCAGATTCGTGGACAATTTGGTAAGAAGTCATTGGCCTGGTGCATGCCAATAATTGACAGGGGTCTCACGATGCCGCCCAATTTCACCCCAGGAAAGAAACTTGGTCCGCATTCGTAATCGTCAAGAAGCTAATCTGTCTCAGCAGCTTCTCCTCGCTCTCATCTTCCCTATGGGCGCCCTTCTCCATCTTGGCTCCAACATCTTGTCCCTCTTATCCTCATTCTATCCAATTTCTTCTCCTTGCCGTCTCTGCGAGCCCTCGTTGATGGTATGTCTGAAAGGCGTGAAGGATATGCGTGCCCTACAGAGTGCCTACATGAAGCCGGTGGGGTTTGGCTGTTTTGTGGGGGAATCTCCTTGGATGATGAAGGCGGAGAGGGCTCATGCCAGAAGCTGGGGCGCTGTGTTTGTGCAGAAAGATATTGAGGATATACTAGCTGTTGCTGGTCGAGATGCATTACCACGAGATTTCGTAACTCGGAGCTAGGATGGGCTGGACAGTCCTTTGAGCAATGGTACTTGCCATATTCCGACTGAGCCCTGAGCGTCATATACGCATACTGTGGCTCCCGAGTCGAGTCCGTAATGGCCGTGTCCCGGGGACAGGCAGGGTAAGTAGGGTAGCCCATGGTGTAGGCGTTGATGATTTGCTGATATCCTATAAGCAAATGTAAGTTGAAGACGCCCAAGCTTTCTGCCCTCGTATTTCGTCACGGCGGAAGGGCCATAAGGGTGTGCATGAACTACACATATCATGTGTACAAACGACACCCTTCGCGCTCGAGTCGTGAGATTCGCAGCACCTTTCCTAGTCAAGAATACCAGTGCGAGATGACCGACGAGACCACGTTGACATCGCCACTTATCTCCCGCTCACGTCCATCATCCCTCCAATCACGGTCCGGAAGACTCAATTCTTTAATCCTAAGCATCATAATCGGATGCACAGCAAGATTGGGAGCAAAAAGAAGGGGGGTGGGTTGCCGTCACCAGCCATGCTCGCACCAGCTATTCCTTTATAGGAAACTTTTTCGCCTCATGGTCCCATGCCCGGCTTTGCTTCCTGTTCCTTTTCGCTTTCGCGGCCGCGAGTGTTGGTAAATGAAGAGTTGAATGGCGGCAGTTTTGCAACCATCCCATCCCTGAGGGACCGGACGTGCGAACTGCCCGGAGCAAAGGCTGGTTGACGCGCGACGACGCAAGGTCAAGTGTGGTGAGTCTAGGCTCCGTCGTGGCCATGCTTGGTCTGGTATTGTTGTTGTATTTCTGTCCGCTTATTCCCAGCCGAGGACCCTCGTCATTGCTGCCAACAATGGTGTTAGTCTGCCCGATTAACTGTTTTACAAAGATGAGCGCCGGCCAACCTGTCAACGGTGACGGAAGGGCCTCCGGACGTGCTTGGGCTATTGTCGGCCGATCATCTTGGTGCATCGAGTGCCAGGTCTACCAAGTACGGCTTCTACCACAGCTGCAAACACCCCGGTATCGACATTAAAATCTACACCAATATACGCCACCCAAGACGGAAGCACCGCCTACCAGGAGGGCAGCCATCTCACAAGATCGAGTTGTGCCGAATTCCCAACGGCCTCGGATCCCCAGAGCTGGCCTCGACCTCGGCGGCTTTCAAGACGAAATCGTCATTGCACACTTCCTGTCCAAGTTCAGCAGCGGCTTCGGCGACCATATGCCTCGCGGAGGCTATATGGTCAGGCGCTGACGAGCCTCCGCAGCGACTTGCAGCTTGTCCATCAGACGGAAGCCCGTGCGAGGGCGTACATGAACTTGTGGACGTCCGTGTTTCTCGGCCTGTACGAGATGGTGCTGTCTGCCGAGCCGTCCAACTGGCTGCAGCACATGATGGGTATCTCGGCGCTGGTGAGCGTGTAGCGCGTACAATGCGTCAAAGAGGGCGATTAGTGAGCAGGCCCAGACAATAGGGCCGGAGGCCTTCTAAACCAGTATACCAATTCCATGCTTCCCATGTACCGCGCAATGATGGTACGCACGCAGCCGGATTCTTGGTGTCTTGTCATGCGCCAACAAAGAGCTGTCCCGAGGCCGCGGGCAATACATACCAAAGAAGACGCCGTTTCCTAGCAAGCCCTGCAAGACTCTTCCAGCCCTGGTGCGCGATGTGCTCTACGACATCCCCGACCTGATGGAACATGTCGATGTCATGCTTGAACTGGAAACGTCTGGTCACGACGTATCCGCAGAGACGGCTCGCCTCCAAAACAAGGTCTCTCAGAGCATAGACGAGCTGGCAATGGAAAGCATTGCACCCCGATGCGTGTGCCGAATCGTGAATCTCCTCAGGAACGTGCTTCGTCAATGAACAAGGGCGGCCGTTTTTCGCCACACGCCTCGAGGAGCCTCGAGGAGCGTCGGGCTCCCGACGGTTCACTCTTCTCCCGCTCAGGGCAGTACAATCGGAACGGCCCCGGCTCTAATCCCTTACGCCGCCCGGCCAGGGTCTGCTCAGTGCTCCTCTTGGTGTTTCCGCTGCGCGTGGCGTATGCCCATTTGCAGGGGTTGCCGGCGATGGTGGCATGGATACAGGGGTTCAAGCTGGGAGAGTTCGTGCTGGAGTTGCAACCGCAGTCTTCAACGACGGCAAGGAAAGGGGGATGTTGATGCGCACGCTGACTCGGATCGGTCGTAAGCGGGGGTTAAGAAATCACCCTGGCCCCACCAACTTTCCGGCTTCACCATCACCACTGCCATCATCTCATGGACAATGCATCTCGGCCATTTCAAGTATATACGATGCGGCTCGGAATATGAAGACTTTCCATTGCCTCGAGGAGCCTGCTGCATCCTGGCTATAAACGCCAGCCGAGACCGACTCCCGTACTAGCCTCGCAGCTGCCAACGTCTTCCTCCATCGCCAAAGTCCCGACTTCAGCCTCACCAGGGTCCCATCAAGTCGAGGCCGCACAAAACGCCTGCGAGCCATCTATAATACACCACATGTCTCGCCAAACCAAGTCATGCACCCGCTGCCGTCAGCAAAAAGTCCGCTGTGACCGCGTCTCGCCCCGTCGCTCACGATGCGCCTCCTCCAAGGCGAGCTGCTCATTCTCGCAGCAACCGTGCGCCTCCCTCTCTCCTCCGCCTCCGCCATGGACGCCCTCGGCCAGCACCGAATCGCAAGACCTGTTCCTCTCCCTCTCATCTAGTCCGTCGCTGTTGCTGGAGGAGCCTCACGGGTGCCAGATCGAGCCAGAGCCCGCATATCCAAGCCCCGACGGCGGGGGCGACATCAAGGTCAAGCGCAAGAAACGCCGCCGGGCTTGTCTGTCCTGCGTGCGCTGCCACCGTCTCAAGGTCAAATGCGACAAAAAGGAGCCCTGCACACGCTGTCGTATTTCCGGCTGGGGCAAACAATGCGAGTACACGCACAGGGTAGAGCCGAGCAGCGAGGCCGCGTCGCTCTATGTCTTGACCGAGGAGGATCCTCAAGTTGCGCTCGCGACGTGGCATTCGCGCCATAGGGGGTTGAGTCATTGGCGAAGTTTGCTTTCCAAGGCAAGTTGTTCCGCCCCCAACTTTTCTGTTTTTCGCTTCAGCAAAAAAAAAAAAAAAAAAAAAAAAAAAAAAAAAAAAAAAAAAAAAAAAAAAAAAAAAAAAAATTCCACCCCCAATTTTTCTGTTTTTCGCTTCAGCAAAAAAAAAAAAAAAAAAAAAAAAAAAAAAAAAAAAAAAAAAAAAAAAAAAAAAAAAAAAAAAAAAAAAAAAAAAAAAAAAAAAAAAAAAAAATTGACACATCTTGTAGCTCGGTTGTATCGCCCAACTCAAGTCTCTGCCTGTCCTCGCAACCGACGAGGTCATCCTTCGCAACCACAGCGCCGCAAGTGGCATCATGCTGCCCGACAACTTCCCCTTCAACAGTCCCCGCGCCCCTCCGTTTGCTTGTATCGAAAAGGTGCGGACCCTGATCGGGTCGCACCGCGGAGACTGCGACGCCTTCGTCAAGGGATACTTGGACCTGTACCAGACGGTACACCCCATCATTGACACCAACGAGTTCCAGGACCGCGTCTCTGCGTACTGGAACGACCCTTCATGCGTAGATGCAGCATGGCTTAGTCAGTTCCTCATGGTCCTCGCCCTGGGCCAGCTGGTTGTCACGAGAAAGACGGCGCCGACCGTGGAGCTGTGCATGGCGGCAGAGGCGTGCCTTGCCAAGACGCCGTTTATGCTGAGGCCCAACCTATCCATCATGCGGACCATGTGTCTCATGGTGCTGGCCAAGCTGACGACAAATGCGACGTGCTGGTCGTTTGACGCCTGTTGGAATCTTCTGGGATTTGTGGTTCGGCAGGCGATCTGCCTGGGCTTTCACCGACGAGATCCCCCAACTTACTCATCGCCGGTGGTGTATGCGGACTGGGAGTCGGGCAAGATTATCTGGACCACGCTGCTGTACTTCAACATCCAGGTCGCCATGATCTCGGGCATGCCATCGTGTGTATCCACGGATGTCGTTGCCTCGCAGGACTTGGCGTGGGACCTTGGGCCTCTGGACACGGCGGCGCTGGCATGGCATAGCGTCATACACACGTCCTGCCCGACCATCATCAACATCATGTCACGGGTCAACGCAGACACAAACCTGCCCTCGTACGAGGAAATCCTCGAGTACAGCAGCCAGGTCCGGCAATGCATGGGCATACTCGATCGCGTCCAGGGGCCTCGCACGCTTCGCATGACGCTCGACATGTTCTTCCGCCGGGTTCTGCTCGTGCTCCATCGCCGCCACGCGCTCGAGGTCGACGCGCCCAGCAAGTATCCCGTGTCGTACTGGGCCTCGCTCGAGTGCAGCCTTGCGCTGCTTGTCCATCAGCACGACTTGTACGACCAGGACCAGGCGCCCAGGGGCGCGGACTTGCTGTTCCGCCTGTACATGCTGGACGTGTTTGCCGCGGGCATGACGGCGACGATCCACTTGCTGAGAAAGGATGCGCCCCTGGCGTCGGGGTTTGCCATCCCGCCCAGGCAGACCATTCTTGAGACGTTGCAGGCGTGTACGGAGCTGTGGGCAAACGAGACGATTCAGAGTCCCTGCTTCAGGATCGGCCATGCCTTGCTGGACAGGATTTTGGGGGCCTTGCTTGAGGGATCTGTTTCTCTTCCGTGAAGGGAATGATAATAGCACAGAGACTGTGTAGTCGTAGTACTAGACATATCTCCAAGGACTCGGGGCGTCTGAGTAGATGAGATATCTGGCTTCTTCCGACTACCTACCCACTCATGCCTACACCCACGACATGATGAATACAAAAGCCATAGCTCAAGACAATCACGGTGGATGAGATTGATCCAACTACCTCTTACAAAAGCAGGCAACGCCATTGTCATCATGGGTGGGTGTCTATCTGATATCCTGGCCGTCAAAGGAGGTGGCATCCTAGTTGGAGGAGAAAAGTCCAGACTACGTCTCCATCTCGTCCCGCAAAGTACTCCATGCTTCTGTCGCAAATACACACAAGGCAAATTGTCATCATTGGCAGCCATGGTAATGGCGCCCGTACCACGGACAAAGCCGCTGCCACTGGCAATATGACATGTCCGGAGCGTATTGTTGTATTGCCCAAAGTCGAGGAATCCCCGGCGGCAAAGGTCATCTGTCTGTACCCCCTACACACCACACAGTACGCAGCGTCGTATGCCGTTCAAAATCCACACCGCGAAAAGACCTTGTCCAGCCTGTCCAGCAAACCGTATCACACCCCATGCCAGTATTCGCAACCACGTACGGAGCGTGTGCCCCCACGCTCATCCGGTGCCGGAGCGGGGGAACACCGATCAATTGATAGTTCAACCCAAAAAGCGAAAACGAACCATCTCTCCATTGTCCAACCTCAGCCATCACCCAACCACATCACGCACCCAACACCAAGGATGGGCAAAATAGCCAGGATTGAATATTTCCGCGTGCCCCCACGATGGCTCTTTGTCAAAATCACCGACCAAAACAACAACACCGGCTGGGGCGAAGCCTCCCTCGAGGGCCACACGCAGTCCGTGGAAGGATGCCTCGACGCATGGCGCGAGCAATACACCGGCCTCGAGGCAGAGTAAGCCACACCCCCCCTTTCATCTCGCTCAAAACTAACACCCCAACCAGCGACATTGAGCAAATATGGCAAATGTCATGGCGCAAGTCCTTCTACCGAGGCGGCCCGGTGCTGATGAGCGCGCTGTCAGGCCTAGACATTGCCCTCTGGGATCTAAAAGGCACGACTCCAAAACAAGACTCTCGCCATCTACAACCACTAACCCCCCTCCATCCACAGCCCGCAAGCTCAATGTCCCCATCTACCAGCTCCTCGGGGGCAAGCTACGCTCCAAGGTAAAAGTATACGCGTGGATAGGCGGCGACCGGCCGTCCGACGTCGAGCAAGCCGCGTAAGCAGAAAAGAAAACTTCCAACCCCAGAGGAGACTGGTACTCTATTCTAACCAACGTCCGTCCCCCGTCCGCAGCCTCGCCCGCAAAGCCCAGGGCTTCACGGCCGTCAAAATGAACGCCACCGAGGACCTGGCCTGGCTGGACTCCCCCGCCGAGCTGACGAGCTGCGTAGAGCGCGTCAAGGCCGTCAAGGCCCACGGCCTCGATGTCGGCGTCGACTTCCACGGCCGGCTGCACCGCCCCATGGCGAAACAGCTCGCCGCGCTGCTGGCGCCCCTGCAGCCGCTCTTCGTCGAGGAGCCCCTGCTCTCGGAGCACGTCGAGGCCGTCCGGACGCTCGCGGGCCAGGTCGCCGTGCCCGTCGCGCTCGGCGAGCGCCTCCACAGCAGGTGGGATGCGAAGCCCTTCCTCGAGGCGTCGTGCGTCGACATCCTGCAGCCCGACATCTGCCACGTGGGCGGCATCTCGGAGCTTCGCCGCATGGCCGCCATGGCCGAGGCCTACGACGTGCCCATTGCGCCGCACTGCCCGCTGGGGCCCATCGCCCTGGCTGCGAACCTGCAGGTTGCTGCGGCCACGCCCAACTTTGCCATCCAGGAGATGAGCCTGGGCATACATTACAATGTGGGCGGCTACGATTTGCTGAGCTACATCACGAACCCCGACATTTGGGACGTCAAGGATGGCTATGTGGAGTTGATGGACGGGCCGGGGCTGGGCATCAGTGTGAATGAGGATCTGGTAAGGGAGGCCAGTAAAGGTGCCGAGGCATGGGTTAGTCCTGGCTTTGTTGGCCCGGGTGGTGAGTTGAGAGAGTGGTGATGTGTTGATGCATGGGTTGGCAGAACAAGGGGCGATGGAGGGTTCATGGCTCCATTGGGCCAGCGTACATCTGCTCAAGGGCCACCATATACTCTGGAATTATGTAGACGAGGTTCGGTTCGATTCCTCACATTGCTACGTATTGGTATCTTCGTCAAGGGCAACAACAAAAACCTCGAACTAAGCTAGGTCTTGAGCGTATAAAACAGATTTATTTAACAACGATTCCTGCCGGCTGAAATGGGGGGTCCGCGCAGGTGGTTGTTCGAGGCCCGACTAGGCACACAGGCACATGCACAGGACAATACGGCAATGGCATATCGGAACCTCAAATATCCTTCTGGCGTCAATGGTATCAATGGTATCAATTCAGCTTCACGTCATATACTCTATCGAGCCTAAACTATGTAGACAAGCAAGCTGGTATCTTCACTGATTCAGCCTAATCATTGGCTAGTCCGCTTTAGCTTCGTCGACGCTTTGTGAATGCGCCTGCTGTGAATGGTGCAGCCATTTAATCCGTCGTCCACTTCGGTAACATTAAAAAAGACAAAAATTCATCGCTTTCATTTATGCAATCGGTGCGCACGTAAAGACGCCTCTGGTTCTGCCAGTCTGGAATGACAGTACCTAATGGACCATGGTTAGCATCAGAGCTTCATATATACTCAGGCACGCAAAAAGAACAACAAAAGAAAAATAGATCAGGCGGGTAACGTACAATGTCGTCAATACTGGCGTATGTGCCGCACACTAAAACCACAATGCCAATAACGAAGCAGGCTGCATTGGCAATCGATCGCAGCAGGTTTTCCTTGGAGTGCCAACTCCCCTTTTTGAGAAGCTTGAACCACATCCATGCAGGCAGGTAAAATGTGAAGCCAGAGATGAATAGGGACGAGGAAATCGACAGCAGATCATTGAAGAAGGGAATCACTTCAGCAATGATGAAGGCGGCGATAGTGATGGCGCTTATAACAGCCATCCAGGTCGCCCAACCCTTGGGGGTGTTGATGAATCGGGTAATTGAATCCTTGTAAATTCGTCCGTGGATATATCGGCCAATAACTGTTGTGTTAATCGATCCAGAGATGAAGATGACGGGCAGGGCAACCCCGAATGCAATCTTGGAAATAGTATGACCAGCAGAGAGCAGTGATGGGGACTTGACATCGACACCAACAAACGAGTACACGAGAGCACCAGTAAGAGTGTAAATGAAGATCTCAATAAGACCAAGCGCCCAGATAGACTTGGGATAGTCCGTAGGGGTGTGCATTTCATCCATAAAGGAGAACTGGCACATGGAGAAACTATAAGCGAAGCAGATATTGGTGATAGCGATGAATCCCTCGGCAAAGGTGAGTCCCTCCTTGGGCCAAGCCGACCAGGCAATGGCAGACAAACCACCCTCTGCCTGGCCAGCCCTAACACCTGTAGCGATGATTGTGATACCAATGGCCAGCAGGATCGAAACAAAATCAACGTAGCCCAGGATAGCCACCTCGGCAAACGAAGGTGGAATGGCAAGCAGAAGCAGGATGACAGCCGAGACGACGCCAAAGACGACTGAGCAAGCTCCGTTATCTGTTATGTTAAGAAAAGCAATAGTACCAGTCAAACAATGTGATCCGACAAGGAAAGTCAGCTGCAAAACGAACATGGCCCCCACAACTTCGTATCCCAAGCGGCCAGCTAGCAGTCGTCCAGCGTCTGCATAATGGGCAACTTCCGGATACGCAATTTTGACCTGTCCAACGATATCAGACGTGTAGATGGCGATGAGACCGAGACCAACACAGCATATAACACCGGCAACCATACCGAGTGAGGCAAAAGCCGCGGGTAAACTCAGAGCCCCGAGAGCGATGGCCTCTACAATAAGAACAACAGTCAGACGTTTCCATCCCAGACGGTTGAAGTGAGCGTTGCCCTCGGCAGTCTTTTGCTTCTCTAGATCAGTACGTCTCTCTTCGAAATCCGTCACCTCGCCCTCGATGGGACCACTGAGGACGTTATCTGAAGGGGTGTGATCAGAGCTGGAAGAGTCCTTCTCCTTCTTGACGCGCTCGGAGAAAGCATGGTCGCGTACGACAGGATCCGACATGGTGAAGGTAGCTTCTGGCGTGTCTTGGGGACTGTATGTATGATGCGTATAAAAATGTGTCTGGCCGGGCGTGGGGAGGTTTGAAAACAAGGGTCGTCGACAGCTCGCGAGGGCGATATCAACCACGGGCGCTGGCTGAGGGCTGCTCTGGTCAGCTTGGTCTGGCGCAGTCAAGCGATGCTGAGTCTTGTGATCAACCAAAGCGGCAAAGATAAAGGAGGGAAACTAGAATACGAAGATGGAGAAGGAGGATTGTGGGATTGGGAAAGGAAAGTGTGGGACAGTGCCAAGAGGGAGCGAGCGAGGTTAAGAAGGAAATGGCCCAGACACCCAGACAAGAGGAACAATAAGCCACGAGAGAGGACCGGTGTGAATCAGTGCTGATCGTGTGGAGGAGATGGAGCTTGTCAACTTGCATCTGGCAAGCCTAGTTCGACGAACATACGTTTGTAGGTGCAAAGGGTTTCGCTACTCCGCGCCGGATAAAGATACACGAGGAGAAGTGACAAGGGTTGTAGACGGTTTTGAGGCTTGCAGCAGCCAGGATCAGGATGCAAGAAAGGAAGGGGGGCGGCTAGGGTGGTAGGAGGAAGTAAAATTGGCCTAGTTGGCTAGGTCGAGGAGAGTCTGGCGAACTTTAGAATGGGATGTGCGTGGCCATGCAAAGGTTCAGGCTACCCAGGCACGGTGTTAAACATGACAGAGAGGGTGAGAGAAAGCCACTAAGCAAGTCGATGGATGGCGCAACAGCGATGGACAAGGCATGGCCAATCCTGCGGATGGGCTGGTGCATCAAGCGTGGCAATATGAACGAGGCCATCCGGACCCGGAGAGGCAAAGTTGACCGGCAGGTAACAAACACCAGGGCCATTTGAGACCAAGCACTTGAGACCCAGCGCCCCGTGGCCCGGAAAGTCCTACTACTCCAACTCCGTACGCCGAGCTATGAACAGACCGGAGAGTCAAGACATTTGGACTGGAATCAGAGACAAAAGCCCTAAGCGGCAAGGCGGCGGGGCGAGTCTAGAAAAAGAGGATGTGGATGTGGATGTGGATGCGGATGCGGATGCGGATGTGAGTGTGAGTGTGGATGCCGGTGATGCGTCTGGCGGAAGCAGGACCAGAGCCAGCACCAGGCAAAGAAAGACCAAGCGGACGCTCGGGCTTGAAGATGCGCTTGCCTGTATTGTATCGTCTTGTGTTGTCGCGTATTCACAACAAAAACGCGCGGGGTCCGGGCCAGCGTCTGACTGACCTTGTCTCTGATGCAGCGGCATTTCATTGCTATTCATCTCCATAACACAATCTCCCCTACTCTCCATTCCATTGTCGCTATGGGGTCATTGAAATGGGACCGAGATCCAGACCTTCATCCTTTGCAAGATTAGAGATAAGAGGAAAACTCAAAACTCTACCGTGCCTAGTTGCCGTCGTTGCCCTCTGCGAATTCTACTCGACGGAATGCCGCAGTACCCCAGATGCCCACTGACGGCTCCCCGCAAACGTTGGTTTTCATTTTAGATTCGCCCGGCCAGAATTAGAGGAAGACATCGGTGCATCGCGAAGCGCAACATGCCAATGCGGGATTAGACTTGGTTGGGGTTGGGGTCGGAGGCATTGTCAGTGCCAGGCTTCGCTTTCCTTGCCCTTGTGGCGCCCTCAAATGGACGAAAGACGAATTTTGTGAGGGTAATGGAGTGGGTCCCAATACGTTCATTATGTGTGAATGATCGTCATCGACGGAGTACTCGCCCTTTGGCAGATAACGGAGCAACCAAGGAGAGGAGGCGACGAGGTTACAATGCCAGCCAGGGTTCCCGGCCAAGTCCGTTTCTACTACGTGTCCTTGCCCGTGCGTGGAGCTTATGCGGGATGATGGGCGAGATGGAAGAAGAAAAGACTGGATCTGGTGGCCATTTGCCCATTGTACGACGAGTTACATCGTTCTCTTGCTGCTGGCTCGGGTGGAGAGCTGGCTTCATCGAGTCAGTATCCATGTGTCAAGAGACGAACGACCCGCCAGCGTGTTTCCAGTTCGACAATGCGTGGTTCTTGATAAGGGGACCTGTTTCGTGGCATCGTGGACCCTCTGGGGAAGCATTACCGTGAGGCCCTGAATTTGTTGTCCAGCATCAGGCGACCCAAGCATTTGTATAAACCCCAGAGTTTTGCAACCGAATGCGGGACATGGGCCGTGGTTGTCGGATGCCGGATGAGGGAAATGACGTCGGGTATTACCCATGCGGTATGTATATTGGTGTGGCTTGCTCTCCAAGCTCTGCAGCCGAGCAGAAATTTCTGCCTCCCGTCTGGGCATGGCCAATCAATTGCTGGACAATGTGCCAAAGCAGAACGCCCAGTCGGCTTCAGTCTTGTGTCTTGCGCCATCCGAATCGGCACAGATTGCCGCGAGCCGCAAGCCACCAGCCGCACCCAGCAGCTTCAGTGCGGCCAGCCAAGCCATCCATCCATCATCCATCTCAGCCAAGCCTCGGACTGTGCGGCGCGCCATGTGTTGCCGGTGGCTGCGAGGGCAGTGGTGGGTGAGGCAAGGGTAGCGCTGCCTGCCTTGCTTGGCCGGGCGGCATCTTGGCTGTGGTGCCAGGCAGAGCCAAGCTAGTGATTCAGCCGCTTGGGTTTTGAGGTTGGCCGTCTCGAGTCTCGGGCTCTTTTGCCCGGTGCCTGTTCCATCTCGGCTGCAATCGTTCGATGCCACTTCTTCAGCGGCTTGCATCTTGCAGTCCTTGGCGGACCTGGGTAGAGCAGAAGACCAGGCAGGTCAGATCAGGTGACTTGGTGCAACTGGCACAAGCGAGCTCCATCATGACGCCAGCCAGCCCGTCGCTCCTTCCTTCTCTTTGCATGCCAATAAGCAATCCCAGCGATGAGGGCTAACCATCAATCCGGCCACAATGCCACACAATGCCACACACTCTGAAACCTACACTCTAAACTCCGAATTTGAACCAGCACAGCTTACACTACCACAGCCGTGACGAAAACATGCATTTGCCTCGAGCAATTCCACTCACACCTTGTCAGTCTGCATCGCGCATACTGCCGTCCTACGGCCCAGAACAGCTCCATTTCGCATTGTACATTCCACCCACGGCCGCCCGGCGACTGCACTGTCAGCCAGTCTTCAATCCATCGCATCCATATGACTTGTTGCCTGCCGGCATCAATTCGGTGCTTATCTTGTCCTCCCTTCATCATTGATCTCACCGCTACGTGTGTTTGTGTTAGAGCCCTGTGCCTCGCAGCCTCGGTCGGTCGCTTCTCACCTTTTCAAAGTTCCGAAATATGCATCCACATGGAACCCACTCACACCCCTCCCGCGCTCTCCACCCATAGACAACAATTCGTTTTCAACTCCCTGTCACGGGCTTTTCCCTTATTCGGTTACCTCATCATCACTGCCGGGGGCTTTGTCTGGCCTCTGCGGGGTCACGGAATCATGGAAGGCTTCTGGAAATTTTCGAAAAGCACGAACAAGGCATTGATGCAGAGGCGGATAGACACCAGTCACACGCACTGCAGTGTCTGTCGGTGTGCTCCGTGCAGTCAACGAGGATCTTGCTTCTTTGGTTCCTTGATTCCCCTGTCCTCCGCGGACCGGTCACTGCAAGTTCGCAACGGGCTTCTGCCTAATATTTTTTCCGCAGCGTCGAGATTTACGACACTTGCAGAATGCTCTCAAAGCACTTACATAACTAAAGATAATATGTACCAAGTACATGAGGACTATTACTACTCCACCAGCTGTGTCAGGCCACCGACCTATCACTTGTATTGCACTAATGGTGCCGCGAAACGGGGCTCGTGTTGCTCCTGCGGGATTATTTTCGTCGTTGTGCTCTTTTTACATAGAACCAAATCTTTATATGATAACTCCTGGAAATGGTCGACATTGGTAGCTTACCCAACAGTAACCGGGCGCCCTTGCTTCCGTCTGCGCAGCTTAACCAGGCTGCCTCAATAGGATCTGCAATCTTGACACAACGCCAACAAAGCAGTTATGCCACCCATCGCTCACGTAATTGCGTTCACCCTTCCGTGGCAACTATTCTGAGTTTTCCGAATTGTATTCGCATCAGAGCAATGAGTGTCAGCACTGCCGGGCATAGCTACGCTGAACGGCCAATATGTATGTATCTTCATTACGCTGCATAGTTGGTTCACGCCCTCCTATTCCTGCGAAAGTTCTTACGCATGTAGTAAACCTGTAAGTGAGCTCCACAACATATGGAGTTGCAACTAGCCCTCGTTTTCTTCTAGATCTCGTCATTGGTTTACAACAACCATCGATTGTACTGAGATCTAGACGGACACAAGTGATCATGTAACCCCCATGGGGATGGTGGCGTCCGCCATCAAGGAGGCGCGACTAGTACCCGAATTCTGCTCCCTCCGATCCTCCATAATTGTCAGACATCGTGACTAACTTGGGCCTTTTGGCAAGTATAAAGCTATCAGGGTCGCGAGCGGAAAATCTGGTGGAGTTATGACAATGCAACATCCCCCGACGTTGGATGATCCTAGGTGGTGAGGGGGACGGCACTCGCAACTTGCGTCTAATATGCGTGTTGCGATTTTTCCGTCCGTTCAAGGATTTACCCCGAGTTATCCTTTTCTCAATGGGTTTCTGCAACCTTGACACGTCGGGCACGAATAATGCTTTTCGAACCCAGGTTCCCTGCATGCGCTTAGTCTCGGCTATGGAGAGTGCGGGAGACGGGAACCATTCCGCCAATGGGTCGCAATAACCTTGCCCAAGTAATTGCATGTACACGGTTCGATCTTGTAAAATGGAGAAATAAAGTTGATCTGGAGCGTCGATTTCTCCACGATCTCTGGAGTGTCGGCATTTCGTATTTCGTGGGGTACATTTTCAGGGAGCAGTACGAAAGTGCCCGTTAAAAGTCCCTCTTGGAAACTACGTTTCACACAGTGCGTAGCTCGGCAGTTTCCTAATTGGCAGGTCGCAAAGCAAGAGGTGTCATGGCTGGACGGTGGATGTTGTTTGCAGTGTGATGGGACCTGGTAGCTGGCGACCAAGATGCAATCGTACAAAGATGGCGATATGAGGGTCTTGGGGTCTTTTTTAAGTATATAAAGCTCTTAACGCCCATGTGTGCTCACCTGGCCGAATATTGACCAATCCGCCAGTTTGTGAATTTTTCTATGCTGTTATGGCAATTTTTGTTTCACTTCATAACCATCACTTTTAGACTCCGTCAACGCACCAAGTGAATCCTCCTGGCAGCGAACGGCTGTCCGGCCAGCAGCAAGAGTCTTCATCACTAGATGGTGCCGAAAAGTGGTCACGTGCACCGTCGTCACGGTCAAGCGGTCATGTACTCGACGATGAGACAGCGGAGACGGATAACATCATACCAATTTCATCCGATAAGGGGTTTAACGTGGAGGATGAGAGTTAAGACATTAGGTCGCAGAAATGGATCACGCATAGGTCGAATCGGTCAACGCCAGGCCCAGAGGGCATAAATCGATTCTAGCCCGCGATGAAACGATGATACTCGCACGCAGGATGCATCATAACCCACGGCACGTCTACGGAAGGAGGCAGGCATCCAAGTAGCTATCAGTTGTAGTCTAAGGTATGGCCTACCCATGAGAAATCAAAATCTAAAAATACAATACATTTAGAGGTCTGGGCCTACCCGTGAGAAATCAAAATCTCATCTCCAAATGCGCACACTCTTCTTCGGGTCAGCGAATGGCTTCGGCAGCCAACACTTGCGCACGATCCAAGTCAAGCCTCGGGTGCCTCCTCTATCTCGCGCAATCAGGGGCGCTGGATCATGGCCTCACGGTCAGGACCAGTGCCGATGTACTTGATCTGCTCAACTTTAGCAATTGCAATGCAGGTCAATATGCGCGCCCACCTACCTTGACTCCGACAAACTTCTCGATGTACTGCTGGTGGTCAGCGCAACTGTTCGTTATGCTAGCCCAGGTGAGTATGCTCACCTCAACGTAATCGCGGGCCGCCTTGGGGAGATCGTAGTAGGTCCTCGCGTTAGTAGTCGGCCTTTGCCAGCCTGGCATCTCGTGGTAAACCACCTCAGCTCGGTTCAGGATGTCGAGATCCGCGGGGTAAGAGTCCAGTTCCTGTCAAAACGGTTAGCGTCTCCACAATCTATCATGATCTCGTCGGCATCACTGACCTCTCCGTCGATCTTGTAAGCGATGGCGATTTTGATCGTTTCGAAAGTATCCAAAACGTCGAGCTGCAGAGTGTTAGAGCGTTTTGACGCGTGTCACGAGCACGTAATGGGCAATGTCTACCTTCGTGAGATTCAGGCTGGTATAGTAGTTGATCGAGTTACTGTAGTTGACAACAACAAGGTCTGCGTGTGCTTGTTAGTTGTGTTCCCTACTACTCAAGGTTTTGAGGTTGTGCGTACCGAGCCTGAGAACGGTCAGTAAGTTTACCAATAGCTAAGAGCCATGATGAAAACTCACCATCCACATCGGCGTCTGCGGCCAGTCGACGTTCCCTAAGTCTTGTCAGCGGTAGAAGCTCGAAACCTCCAGAGCACTTATAGCCTCACCCATTCGCGTCCAATCTCCTGGAGCTTGGTGCCAATCCTGAGGTTGTCATTCAGCTTCATACTAGCTTTAAGATAGTAATTAAAACGCACTCTCCGGTATCTTCGGTCTTGAAGGCCCCCGCCCCGACACGGGTAGTATCTGTTACCAGTCAGCAGTGAATCACAGCCCTGGAGCAATCGACATACAAGCCTTGACCACTCCAATTGTCTCTGTGATATTCCTTGGGTTCAGTGTAAGTCCACCAATAATACCAGCGAGCGTAGTACTTGAGGAAGTGACGAACTGTAGTTAATCATGAGTACTAATGCAAACTGAAAGGCCAAGTTGATGGAAACTTACTGGGTAAGAGCCATAATCAACATCTAGCATCAGTGCCTGTTCAATTGGTAACAAGCACAAGCGCCAGGTCCCAGAACCCCTTGCCTTCACAGGAGATATGACTGATGCCGATCTACCAGCATCGCACGTGGCGCAGAGGTTTAACGTGAAAATGAAGCCCCGGGATCATCTCAAGACAGGCTTTCTAAGCACAGTTTGGTTTGAACCTCGAGTTGCCATGACTGGGTCTGCTACGAGTTGATTCCAGGGCGCCATCCTCACATAAAATTGTCATTAACTCCACCGACCACGCTCGATAGCTAACAAGTAGATGGGTAGAAGCCAGGTCTCCATATGGCTCCCGAATCCTGCCGAGGCGTGGACATGATACACAGTTTGTTATAGCGTAGACCCCTTATTAGGTTCCACTAACAAAGTGATTGCCCAGACGAGCACTATGTCCCGCCCCGAACTAAGAATTCTTGCGGGACTAGGAAAGAGGACTGTGAGACCACGGGCACGGTGCTCGTTCCACCAATGTGTCAGTACTATTCGTTGAGTCTTAGGATGAGAACCTTACGTTTGCGCCTTCAATCACAATTTTCGTGTCGCTCTGCTGTGCGGATCTCATGAAGGACACGCCGTCCACAACGTACTTCTTCAGCGTCTCCCTGTACTCGTTAAAGCGAGCAAGCTCAGCTTTAATGTCGTATTCGAACAGTTCTCCGAAGCGCTTTTGATAGCCATCGGCTAAGCGCCTCACCTTCTGCTTGAAAAGGTCAGGGTAGAAGACGTCAGTCAATTTGATGCCAGTTCGCTGGAAAAGTTAGCGCACAGTCCGCTCCCTTGTCATAACTATCTCTTACCGCTCTGCTGGTCTGATAGCAGGGACCAATGCCTATGGCAGACGTTAGACCTCGTTGCTCAAATAGCGTCGCTAGCACGACGACGACGGAGATTATCCCCGCTATTGAGATTTGGAAATGCTTGCACTGAGGTGAAAGAAGCAGAAAAGGATAATCCGGCATGGAGTCCTCGGGGTAGCGTACCGCGTCTTGTTGTTCCAATAGCTGCGTCTGGGGTAGACTTTAGCTGCTGTTCCTCAACGACAGGTCGGAGATTATGAGACGAACCTCCGAGTTCCCTCTCCTCAAGACCATCCACTGCCATGTGCAGGTCCAAGAGGACATTGACCCTGTCGGAAACAAGGATCCGATCATGTACCGCAGTCAGGCCCTTTTCCTCGAGCTCCCGGAGCTCGCTGAAGAAACTTGGGCTAGAGGACAGAGTCAGTCTTCTTGGCATGTTCGGTTGAGGGGCGCGAGCCAGGCGAGACATCAACAAGATGCCGACGGGGTAGTCCAGTTAGGGTTGGAGGATTATATGAAGACTAACACGTGGAAGACTACGCCCGAACCGATGAAGTTCATGCTATGGTACTTGTCAGCCTCGCCGTTGCCAGCTTGAACGATCATTATCCTTGACAAACCATTTTGGATTGATCAGCCCAGAGGGCAAGAGGTGAAAGCTGCCTCTATGTTAGCAACCACGCCGTCCTTCGACGTGTGCTGGTTCTCACCTATACGAAACTCCGTTTACACTTTGCACCAATTAGCAACACATATCTATCGATCGATAGAAAGCGTTCGACCAACCGCACGAGATGCCCAGCGTTAGCCCCACCCTTGAAATTGATTAGCAGGTATTTCAGCGCAAATTTGTCGTTTGGGGATGTTTTATGGATCGGTGGAAGCCGTGGTCGACCGGATTCTGCCTGCGTTTTGCTTACCGCGGCTCGGGCACAGAGTTGCGCCTCCTGGCACTGTCTATCAACCAACTTGCCCTTCTGAGTACGCAGTATTGTTAGTGCCCGGGTGTAATCGGCTGCGTTGGGTTCTCCCCGAGTACTCACGCCTTCGTCGCCTGTGGAAGTCGTGGTCAGTATAATGAGATCGAACCGATATCGGCTGGGTGCGGAGGAAGGACATATTCCAGGTAAGGGAGAGAAACATACCCCATTGGGCCCCAAGAATGACAGTGATAGTCATGCTGCGCAGGATCAAGTTTGGCTGTCGTGGGAGCCGTCGTTGTGGAATTGCAGAGAAGAAAAAGGACGCGATCCGGACAAAGTAACAAAGTTTTAAAGGCGCGGTGCTCGAAAGGTGCGTCAGAGCAGCTGTTTGGGGGGGATTACGGCATAGGGTTTTTCCGGGGGTATAGGTCCGCCGGGCCCTTAGCTTCGGGGTTCGTGCTGGTAGCGAGAGAACCTGACTTAATCAACCAGTACCCGTTGACATCTCCATGACCAGCCATTTTCGTGTCATAGCCGCGCGAATTAGCGTGCACGCGGGTTGCGAAAAATGCCGCACACCTGTGTGTGCGGTTGTGGGTGCGGGGTGTGCTGCCCTTTTTGCAGCCCGCGTGGCGGGGTACTTGCACTATGCCCCTCCACCCCACTATGAAGTAAAAGTACAAAGGCCATGTGGGGCCGTTATAGAATCGGCACCTTCGAGCACCTAAAGGGCTGGATCAATTGATACGGAGTACTCCGTACGGAGACAATAAATGCCTCGGCACTTTAAAGACGGGCGCCACCGACATGTACCCCTGTGATTGTGTTAAGGTGCGTTGGCTGTACCAGACCAGGATTCGACCTAATAAGAAAACCTATATTTAAGGATACTAAAGTCTCCTAAGAAAAGATGCTAATATACGTATTAACAATTAAGGTAGGCAAAAAGCTACTTTATATTTACCGGTCTTATGAGACTTCAAAGTCACTAAAAGGTAGCCTCAAGGTACTATTGAACAGTGGAGCCTGTACAGCAAACGCAGCTTGACGCAATCAGAGATGTTTGCGGCATACAACACGCGCTTCTTCGATTGCACAACTGCAACACAGTATTCCGCATTCAATCCTACGCAGTCCCGAGAATTCTGCCATTACGTTGCGGAGCGTCGATATGGACGATGGGATGAGCACATGGGAATTGGAGTCTAGCTAAACATCATCAGATAGATCCGGCCCGAGCTAGCTCGTGAGACTGAACAAATGCAAGCATCCGCCATGGCACCGTTATCAATCGCACATGATTCAAATATAATCCACACTCACAAGCTGCGCCTTGTACTGCCAAGACTGCTGCTAGTGCCGAGGGTGATTTCGCTAATTTCACTAATCTTGTCCGACAAATCCACCACGTCATTGCATACTCCCCGTTGTTTCAACTCATCATCGTCGTCACGCGGGGGGCCATGGAAGCCATTTGGGTTCACGCTGCCCCACATCGCAGGCAATTAGACATAATTCCGACTCCTCCGACCTCGCAAGCCGTCATGTCGCGAGTTGTCGTGCCGAGCCATTACCATCAACCTCGGGATAGCGTTAGCGTTGCCATGCCCCCCAATACTCTTTATAACACCAACGTTGCGGACCGCTTGTTTTACGGGGTCTCTGATTCTCGTTTCTTTCATTGAAAAATACTCAGTTTCGCAGAGCTCGCCATGCCTCCCCCGAATCCCGACTGGGTCAAGGCTCTCAAGCCGTCAGGCCTGAACGGACAGGAGCTCCTCGAGCAGGAAAGAGCCAAGTCAAACGTCAACGTGGACCAGCTCGCCGAGTTTCTACACACCAGCCAGGCGCTCGAGAGAAACGCAAAAATCTTGGAGATTCTGCAGTCCCACCCCGTCTTCGACAAGTCCCAAAACTACTTCCACGGTCGTATCGAGAGAATTGAGGCCGCGCTGGCCCGGGCCAAGGCCTTGAGACAGCTGTCGGTCAAGCATAAATGGGACCAGGACGAGTATGCCGCCGCCAATGACCTCATTAGCGAGCCGACGCCTTACGGCCTGCATGCCTCCATGTTCATGAAGACGCTGGAGGAACAGGGCACGCCCGAGCAACACAAGCTATTTCTCGAAAAGGCCCAAAACTACGAATACATCGGGTGCTATGCGCAGACGGAGCTTGGCCACGGCTCCAACGTTCGCGGTCTCGAGACGACGGCCACTTGGAACCAGCATGACAAGACCTTTACCATCCATTCACCGCACCTAACCGCCTCCAAGTGGTGGATTGGCTCCCTTGGAAAGGCCGCGAACCATGCCGTCGTCATTGCGCAGCTCATTATTGATAACAAGACGTACGGCCCCCATCCGTTTGTCGTTCAGATTCGCGATCTCAAGACGCATAAGCCCCTGCCAAACGTCCACGTCGGCGACATTGGGCCCAAGTTTGGCTACAACACCATGGACAACGGCTTCTTGCTCTTCAACAAGGTCAAGGTCCCCCACATCAGCCTCCTCAGCCGCTTCTCAGGCGTTGACCCCGAGACCGGAAAATACATCAGGCCTCAGAACCCAGCTCTTGTCTACGGCACCATGACTTACATTCGGTCCAATATTGTCCTGCAATCCGGGTCGGTGCTTGCTCGAGGCGTGACCATTGCCGTCCGCTACTGCGCCGTCCGCCGGCAGTTCCAAGATCGTGACAGCACCAACGATGAGTTGGGCGAGAACCAGGTCATCGACTACACCATGGTCCAGCACCGTCTCTTCCCCCTGTTGGCGGCCACGTATGCCCTTCACTTTACAGGACGTGCCATGCTGAGGCTGTATAATGAGAACCAGAAGCGTCTGGCCAGCCCGTCCTCACAGTCCAGCCACGACATCCTCCCCGACCTCCACGCCACGTCCTGCGCCCTCAAAGCCTTCTCGTCCACCGTTGCCGCAGAAGGGCTCGAGACCTGCCGCCGCGCATGCGGTGGCCACGGATACTCTGCATTCTCTGGCATCGGCAGCTGGTACGCCGACTACCTGCCCACCGTCACCTGGGAAGGCGACAACTACATGCTCACGCAGCAGGTCGCCCGCTACCTGCTAAAGTCTGCCCGCGCCGTCCTCAAGGGCAAGCCCGCGCCCAACGACATCTCCCGCGTTCTGGCCGAGTTCAAGGCGAGACAGGACATTGGCGCCGCGTTCGACATCCTCGACAATGACGAGGATCTCGTCAAGGCGTTTGCCTGGAGGGTGGCGTTTCTGACCTTTGAGGCCCTCAAGCACCGAGATGAGGAGAAGCAGGCTTGGAACAGCCTCCTCATCGACTTTTGGCGCCTGTCTACCGCCTTTGCGCAGTACCTCATTGTCAAGAACTTCTACGAGACGCTCCAGGACCAGGCCACGACCTCGTCCCTCGACCCGGCTACCACCAGTATGCTCCGCAGCTTGTTCCACCTCTTTGCGCTGAACTACTTGCAGTCACATGCTTCCGAGTTCTTCACCAGTGGTGCCTCGACCGTCCGCCAGATCCAGCTGGCGCGCACCAAACGCACGCTTTCGCTGCTCAAGGAGATTCGCCCCCACGCCGTCAAGTTGGTCGATGCCTGGAAGTTCTCAGACTGGCAGCTCGACAGCTCGCTGGGCCGGTACGACGGCCGCGTGTACGAGGACATGTTCCACAGGGCGTCCGAGGTCAACCCCCTCAATGATATCACGTTTGATCCTTATCCCGATTCGAGTGTTTTGTTTCAGTCCGACAAGCGGCAGTCGAAGCTGTAAAATCTGAAATTTGTCATTCATTAGAAGCGTTCATTGCCTTTAGTTTACGGGTGCATACCATTAGATAGAGGGTACAATATCATGGTTTCTTTTCCTGTTAGACGTCCATGACGGAGATGTCGCTGCAAATAGAGGAATTTATCTTTGAGCAGAGCAAAACGTTGGAGATTGTGCGCCGCAATTTGAGTCTTTGTTAACTCTGTATGGCTTTTGCATCAAAATATACGAGAATTCAGAATTATAATCGTACACAATATTTATGACTTCTCATTGCTTCTCTGCAGAATGATGAGTGTAATGTTGGAACACGGCTTGCCAAGATCCCACGTGTGCCCTAAAAACTCTTATCTTATCATGCCTGGTCGCAACTTTTTTTTAGGCCGCCGGGGGGAGAATATTGCCCCACGCCAATAACCATCAAGTCAAATCAACATTACTGCGGCACCAACAGCCGCTGGTGACTTTTTTTTTTTTCACAATTCGAGCAAATATTTCCGCAATACTCCGCCTGTTCTGCATACCGCCTTATTCAATATACGCAAGTTGCAAGCGCCACGGTGATCATTTCGACCCTTCGTCATCATGGCCACCCCGCCCGCAGAGCCTTCCGCTCCGCCGCCCACGGCCCTCAAACCCATCCACAGCCTAGTCCTTGATACAGGCCCGTTGATCAAAAACGACCCCTCGGTCAGCGCACTCCTCTCGCAGGCCGAAAAACTCTACACGATTCCGTCCGTCATCCCCGAAATCAGGGATCCCGCCACCCGCACGCGAGTCGAGACGACACTCCTGCCGTTTGTTACTGTTCGCGCACCCGGCCCCGCGAGCATAAAGTTTGTGACGGACTTTGCGAGGCGGACGGGCGATTTGGCGGTGCTGAGCAGGCCTGATATCGAGGTCATCGCGCTCGGCTATGAGCTTGAGTGCGAGAGGAACGGCGGCGACTGGAGGCTGAGGAACACCCCCGGGCAGAAGCGGTTGAATGGACGGCCAAAGGAGGCGGAGACCCAAGCTGATGCGGAGGATTCGCCAAAGGATGACCCTGAGAATCCAGCAGCGGCTCCGGCGGCAGAAGGCGACGAGACAGGGTCGCCGGCGCTGGAGGACAGGTTAGACGGTCTAAGTTTGCAGCCTACCGAAAATGCCAGCCCGGCCGAGGCGGCAGCCGCAGCAGAAGAACCATCACCTACCCCCGACGCACCAGCCGCAAATCTGGAAATGCCAGAAACGCAACAAGACTCCGACGACGAGGGCTGGATCACGCCGTCCAACCTGAAACGACACCAAGCGGCCGACTCGGCCGGCAGCACGCCGCCCGCCGCCCCAGCCGGCGCAAAAGACGCTGCAGGCGGCCATCCTCACGTCCGACTACGCCATGCAAAACGTCGCCCTCCGCATCAACATCAACCTCGTCACGCCGTCCTTCTCGCGCATCACCCACCTCAAGAACTGGGTGCTCCGCTGCCACGGCTGCTTCGCCATCACCAAAGACATGGAGAAGCAGTTCTGCCCCAAGTGCGGCCAGCCCACGCTCACGCGCGCCAGCTGCTCGACCGACCAGCACGGCAACTTCCAGGTCCACCTCAAGAAGAACTTCCAGTGGAACAAGCGCGGCAACGTCTACAGCGTCCCCAAGGCGGTCCACGGCTCTGCCAACGGGCGGCTGGCCAAGGGCGCCGGCGGCAAGAACGGCTGGGGCAGGGATCTGATTCTCGCCGAGGACCAAAAGGAGTACGTCAAGGCCAGCGAGGAGCAGAAGAGGCAGCGCAACAAGGACATCATGGACGAGGATTACCTGCCGGGAATTCTGAGCGGGAAAAGATCAGGCGGAGCGGCAAAAGTGCGCGTCGGGGCGGGCAGAAGTGTGAATTCAAAGAGGAAGCATTGAAAGCGCTGTCTTTTTACGTATATATTCATCAATGATCAAAGTTCACCGTCCAGCAGGTCAATCACACCTTGCCTTGGCACTCACATCACACGTACTCAGGAATTCGAGATCCACAGCAGTAAAAGGCGAAAAAAAAGAAAGGTAGACTATATGACCGTCGAAAAAACTCCAGTGACCCAAACGCCAGCCAGCCGCAAATATCTTCCCCGGCATGATTGCAAACACTGCTCAGTCGCCGTTTTTTTTTTTTTTTTGAATCTCGAAATCGACCTCGTTCTAATGTGCCAGCGCCGCGTAGCCTCCCCTCATCACCCACTTCACCTCCCCAAGGACCTGTCGATTCTCAAACCGCGCCCCGTCCGTGGACAAACCTACTCCTCCTCTGCGACATGTCAGCATCCCTCCAATCCAGCCAATAATCAGGGCCAACGTACTCTGCTGCGTGAGAAGCAGGCCGAACCGCTTCTTCATGGTAACCCTCTGCCGCGACCACTTGTCGTCGGGCGAGAAGCGAGCCGGGTGCGCTGACTTGGTGACCTGCCCGTGGGCCACCTTCTTCAGGGTGTACAGGCGGTTGCCGCTGGCGTCGAGGGTGTACATGAGATGCATTTTTGGCGAATTGGTGACTTTGGACGTTTCTCAAAGAATGTTTTCCAAAGAATACAATTCCAACAAATGGTATAGCCAAATGATTGAACAAGAAAAAAAAATAGTTGGGATAGTGTGGCAGTATAGAACGCTAGTGGACTGGATGGGGGGTGGGAATTTTGCAGGGGGTAGAAAATTCGGCCAGAGACATCACGTGCACTTATCGATAAGAATGCGTCGGGCTGCCTGGTGACATAACCTGTGAAGTGGCATTGTTTGTTCTTTTTTTTTTTTTTTTTTTAAAAGGTGTGTATTTTTTATTTTTTTTTTTTTTTTTTTTCAAGAGAGGGGTAATTCTAACGTAGTAGTATACACTGGATTTTATTCATAAAAGTATTGTAAAAGAAGCGCGGACATTGCTGCTGCCCGCCAGAAAGTAATGTACTAGTGACGTACATATCCAGTGAGTGAGCGTATAGAGCTAGACTCGGAACTGTGAAGAGCAGACTACAACGCAATCATCAACCTGCATCCCCAATCCAAAAAAGGACAACGATTTCCAGAAAAACAAAACACTACAGGCAAGCTTTCATGCTTTGCTCAACCACCAATTTACTCAATTTCTCCCACGCGAGCAGCCTTGTCGGCCAGCCAGTCCTCACGCTCATAGAATCGGAAGACCAAGTCATAGTCTTCAAAGTCGTGCACAATACGATCTACACGCCGATAGCCGCGGACGGGGTCGACGAGGCGCTGCATGGAGAGGCTCTTGAATGTGCCGTCGCCCATGCCGTAAGGATTGGCGCCGCGACCCTTGGCCTCGAACAGCGTGACGCTGAATCGGCCGGGGCGGAAGATGTTGACTACGTGCTCGATAATCTCCGCTGTGGTGCGACCCTTTTGCCCTCCGGGTACGTTGGTCTCAAAGGATGCAAAGGAGAAGCCTGGCTCGGGCGTAACGTGCACGGTGAAGTAGTGAGTTGCTCCGGCCGTATCATCTTCGGCGGATGGCGGAGCGGGAACCACGCCATTGGCAGAAAATCCGCAGGGGCTGAAGAGATACGAGTCCACACGAGCATCGGGGTAGACAGAGGTGGGATAAACGTCGTTGAGTCCGCAGCTTTCCGAGACGACTGAGCCAAGAGCGTGGCCCTCGGTGGTCAGCTCCTCAGTGACTTCGGCCTTGGCAGTCTCGAAATCTCCATCGTCGCAGTGTCCAAACACATCAATTTCCTCCGGGGTAGCGGCAGTAAGACAGTCGATGCTATCCTGTGCCTTTTTGCGTGCATTTTTCGCCTCAGCAGCAAGCTTGTCGCTCGCGACCGCACTCGCGTGTGACAAGTAGAACTGCTTAGCGTTCTCGGGGTCAAGATCGGTCATGAGAATCTCCAACGTCTCATCATTCTGACTATAGGAGCCGCCAGCAGAGCTCCCGCCATTGGAAGAGAGGGTCATGGCAGGGGTTGGCTGGCAATTGATCTCCGAATCCGGTGTCAGGGGAGGAGTAAGGGTTTGGTTAGGCGAAGTTATGTAGAGGTACCAGTGATCCCCATTCATCTTACCCACCATATAGGCGCTGCCTCCTCCCTCGAGTGTGTCATCCAGATACTTGACTTCTTGCTTCCAGCTCCGGTGAGGGCCTTTCTGCTGATCGGGGAACAGGAAGTTCTTGCGACTGTAGAACACACGATAGGGCGTGGCCGCGGCTCGAACGTCGTTGACCGAGTTGGCATTGTGGAAGGGGAACCCGGCATTGACGGCAGCAATGTGAAGCAGACGCTGGAGGCCAAGAAGAAGTGTGGTGGTTCCGCATGTCTTCAGGATAAGCTTGTGGGGGAAGACAAACATGCTGGATTCGGAGAGCAAATAGGCATCGACGTCATCGGACTCTAGAACAGACAGAATCTTGCAATTGACCATGTCCAACATACCAACCCAAGTGTCCGCAGGGACGCTTTTCAAGCCATTGGGTGCAGCAGAGCTAGGCAGAGCCGTAGGCCCGGAGGCAAACCACACTTCTAGCAGCTTCTCAGGCCCTTCGAAGGCATTGCTGGAATCCAGATCCGCAGCAACATCGTGATTGATGGTCAAATGCGGCGTAGCCGAAGATGGAGAAAATGTATAGTTCTTGGGCACCGAAAGGTTGACCATAATTAACGTCTCACTCTGAGAGAAGTGAGAACCGCACCAAGCTAATCAACGATTAGGAGATCCGGGGGTGAGGTTGAGGCTCGGTCCCTGCTAAGACCCGGGTTGAGGATTGGACAAAGGGGAGACTCGGAACGACTCCTATTTTCTTCTTTTGTTTTATTTTGCTGATGTCTTTGCCCGCTAGGCAGAGTCCGCGGAGCACTAGCTGCCGCTCAAACAGACCTTGCGGTGTCTGTCTGAGAGAGTAGGCCCACAGGAGGTGGTTGTTCCCAAGATGCTGGCGTAGCCAGCAGCAATGAGACGTATGAAAGAGTCGCTAACGTCTTCAAAGGACGTTAAGGGGGTCGGAAGCGGAGGGAGTGAAGAAACAACTTCTGTGACAGAATGTTGGATGGTCGGCGGCGTAGTCCGATACCCGTGGGAAAGTACCGGAGCTAGCAGACAGGTATCTGCTTGTGCTTTGGAGACGAGTAAACAAGGAGTTGTCGTGGCGGGCTTAGGTCGGCTTCATATAATTTTCTTGGTGTCCTTTGTCTTAGCAAGGGTGCTATCGAGGCCTGGGGAGGGAAGACGGTCAGTCAGTCAGTCAGTCAGTCAGCACAGGTTGCGGATATCTGGTCCGGCGGGCACGCTGAGTCTTTGCCAGAGTCGTTGTACTAATTGTAGTCGTAGGTGCCAAGGCTAGAAAAGGACGAAACGGCGAGGGGAGACATACTTGGAAGGTCGAGAGAAGAGGAAGCGCAGTGGATCAGTCGAACGCATAGAATGCGGTTTAAAAAGCGGTTGAGCGAGGGTGAGGGGGCTGATGCTCGCGAGGAATCGGGTCCGCCGCGTAGACCGGTCAGCGATGGCTTCCGCAGACGAAAACTGAACAAGACTTATGGCTGGGAAGAACCCATAGATAGTGTTGGAATTGTGTCCCACGGCTCAACGCAATTGAAAAGGTGGAAGTCGAAGGAATTGCTTGGTCGTGTGAGGTGCACAAGGAGAAAAAAAGGAAGAAAAGATAAGTGGATGCAGTTGGACGAGCGTGGGTGAGGAGGACGTGGACGTCAAAGTGGATTTCAAAGTGGATGGATGTTCTGGACGGGTGGGCAGGCGACAACAGAGATTTTTTATTTTCATTTTTTTACTCCGTAATTTTTTTTGCTTTGCCCTTTTGTGCCCTTATTCCCCTGTGGCCCTCGTTCGCCTGCCGTTGTGGACCAACCTCTCATCTCGTCAAATCTCCTCGCATCTCCTCAGATCTCACACTTTGGCCTGCGCCTGTGCTTCCACTGCTGCATGCATACAGGACGTGGCTGTGGCAAAGGCCACATTCTGAGGCCATGGGCATGCATGACTTGATGACGTAGGGCTGGGACTTTTGCCAGCCAAAATAATCAGAAATCTGTAGCTCCCACACAGTCGCGGAGTCGAGAGGTCCATTGCATTCATGCTCGTCTTTCGCTAACCCGCCGTTTCGATTGTATCAACACAAACGGGCGCTCTCAATGCTGACAGAGGACTTTGGCAATTTTTGCAAGCTGAGCATGTGCACCGCATGCTGCACATTGTGTTGGACGTCGTTGCATTTGGACCTGCACCCTGGTCTTGGGTGGGTGTGACGAGAACTGGAGACGGGAACTTGGCTGATGGCGGCCGAATGAAAGCCAACGCCGATCATCATTGACGAACCAAAAGACGGAATGACAAAACATCTGCTCGTCGTTCGCCGTCCACTATCCGCTGTCGCTGTCGGCTGTTAGTCGGGTCCATGGCGGTTGTGGTCGTTCAACGTCACGCCAAAAAGAAGTCTATGCCGCCGCCGCTTTCGCTGGTGTGCCTCCATCCGTCCATCCATTATCCATCCTCATCTTCCATAATGCGGAGTGCCGCGTCTTCTGGATCCTTAACACGAGCACGCTCGGCTTGACTATCTGCTTAATTTGTCTCAAATTTCTCCAATCCTTTTTGACCATCGTCTACAGACCACCGAGTAGCCGCACCTGCAATGTTCATGGAGATGCGGCGCAGCCAGCCACCGCAAGCCGATTGTCTAGATACATTCTTACGTGCATCTCATTTCGTGCATATCTGTCCAAATGTTGCCATTCACCACCGTACGTAGAACCCTAGATCCGCACACTGGGAAGGAAAGGGCCCATCGTAGTTGGCCAACACGAGGTGCTGCTTTTTTCGCTTCCGGGCAACTCATCATCAGCCAGGTGGGCATTGGGCTGCTTCCCACGCACGTATTGCTACCCAGCCTGCAACTAGTACTCCATACTTAGTACCTAGTACCCAGATTACGATTGCCCAATGATGAGCTAGAAGTTACCTCAGTGCATTCGGCACCTGCATGTCCTCGCCTCTTTTGGCTCTTCCCTTCCCATCGAAGGGTCGACTCTCTTGCTGGGCAATTTCAATGTTGGCATCAGGGCCTTCTTCCATGCGGCAAGCCACGTCTCCGCCGCGGGATGGCGGATGCGCATAGTTTTGTGTTGGTCCGGTTTGCGAAACCGGAGGCTGATGGCCTTTGGTGTAAACTCAGACTTGATTCGGTCCATGTGAATGAAGCACGAGGCTCCTTTCTCAAGCCTGGTTTCCTGGTTTAAATTTTCGTCGTAAGCGATGTCGTAATGTCTTTGAACACGTGCGAGAGCGAGCAGTGCTTGTATTTTTCGACAAGGTTGCCGCTGTTGTTGGTGTCACTGGCGTCGCCTCCATCTAGTGCGGCGGACGATATGTCGTGTCCGTTGATACGTGTTCCGACGGGATATTGTGGTAGCCGACCCTCCTCAAGCAAGGCAATAAACTGCGCATCCATCGGTACCGTGCCCAAGAACGGAACATTGAACTCCTCTGCCATGCTACGACCACCCCCAGAGCCAAAAATGTCGGTGCATTCTGAGCAGTGAGGGCAGACGTAGCCACTCATATTCTCAACCACACCCAGCACTCGAATGCCCGTTTTAAAACAGAAGTTGAGTTCTTTGCGGACATCGGACGTGGAGACTGCTTGAGGCGTGGTCACCACAACCGCACCCGCAACCTGCTCGGGAAGAGCCTCGCTCTGCAGTGTTTCCGCAAGAGAGATGTGCTCGTCACTAGTGCCTGGCGGCGTATCAATAAGCAAAAAGTCCGTATCGTCCCAGAGAACATCACGGATGAACTGCCGAATCATGGCCGTCTTCTTGGGACCTCTCCAGACGACGGCATCTCCTCGCTGTGGGAGCAGGAACCCCAAGCTCATGGCGTGCAGGCTGCCGACGCCGGTGCCTGCGTCCTCTCCATGGACGGAAACCGGGGCCCAGCCGCCCGGGATCTGAGTAACTTTGGACTCTTCGATGGACAACATTCGGGGGATGGAAGGCCCAGTCAGGTCAACATCGAGGATGCCTACAGAATGACCAGCCAGAGATAATGAGAGAGCCAACTGCGTGGTCACGGATGACTTGCCCACCCCACCCTTGCCGGAGAGAACCTGGATGCAAGCAAGAGATTAGCAGAGAAACCCTTGGAGCAGTGCTTGAACGAGCCATTAAATGCATCGACGAGGTGCTGCAGCGCGTCTTACCAGCACGATGTGCTTGACCTTGTCCAGGCCCATGTTGTACCAAACAAAGATACAATACAGTGTATTGTCATGCACTCGATCCCCACCGATACCTGAGACGAGCGTCGAGGTATGAGCGATATACGAAGCGAATTTGGGGCCAGATGTATCAATACTAGTAGAAGCAGATGTTCTGAGAGTGATAACAGAGGAGGGTTGCCGGCAAGTCGCCTCTTGGAGGAATGACGCCTTCTTGATTAGCAAGCAATGGGACCAGGCGGGTTTTTCAGTGTGTGGCACAGAGTGTTGGAAATCAATGATGGGAAATAGGGAAGTCGCAACCAGCTCCACCCAACCAGAGCGAGGCCGATGTCCGGAGCTGCCAGACAGGGGCGGTGACGTGGGTCCCTGAAGCATGTCAAGTAAATGGCACCTGGGGCTGCATGGGGGAGCCTGGGGGGCCAGCACAGGGGCACCAGGTCGTTGATAGCCCATGCAGACATGACCAGTATGTGCGTATGTGCCCTGGCACGTGCATTTAATGGCCCAGGTGCCCGATTATAGCGAATGCAGTCCCTGCAGATTCCAGGACACGCTCCAGGTCCCAATACTGCGCCTATCCGGTCGGTCGGTGTTGTCGCTGCCCGAAACAGCACCACCAACTGAATGGATGACTCGGGCCAAGAATGCGGCTCTGCAAGTTCATAAGGAAGAGTCAAGTGTCTGAGTGGCCGTGTCTCTTCAGTTCTTCAGACTCGTAGAGTTGCGTCTAGAATAACGGAGTAGGCTGTGCACAGCTGAGAGATTCATGTTGGTCTACGACTGCCCCGGTTCACGCCTCGATGGTAACACTTGCATGATAGTAGACATCAATTCTCTCAATTTGATGGAAACATGCGAGCCAACCATGTCTAAGGCCTCAGTCATTCTGCATTGTCGCTTCATTAAATGATATATCACAATGCCAACCAGTGCACCGCGCAACATGGTTGAAACGCTACCCTACGCTCGCATGAAAACATTCTTTTACTGGGCAACGTCGCCCTCCAGAAGCTCACATGTGCAGTCATAACCATTCCCAACGCCTTTTATGCTACCGTACTCGAAGGCTCTCGCGATTCCATGTCGAGTAAGCCGCTTTGGTATACCGTCGTCCCAAGATCTCTCCCGCCCCGAAGCCTCCCGGTCATGGCATTTCGTCCCCTGTTTCAAACCGAATAATTCCCCGTGGGAAAGCAAAAGTCGACCCTCCGGCGTTATCGCGGCCCAGGAGCTCCCCTTGTGGCATTTGCGCCACTGGCTGTGTGAATCTTACAATGGGGCCGCCCTCAACCGTAAAGCCAATGAACTCGGCTTGGATATCCGAACATTTGTCGTCGTTGCTAGGATTTTCAATGGTATTACTACGACGGCCGAGTTAGATGCTCACCCGGCCTCATGACATGTGGTTTGGTACTTACGCTTGGCTGATGCGTGGTTCCTGGCCATGGTCTGATGCACTGCCTGCCGGCCGTCGCAAATTTTTAATTCTCTTTCTTGTACAGTCATGGAACAAGTGCAGAATGCCTGCAATCACGAGAACCGGAGTTCCCAATGCTAGTGCCCAAGGTCTGGTTATTGGTAAGTGAGTAGGCTCGAGGGTTGGGGTCAGGAACAGCAGGTGGTGGATGGAGTAACCTACGGGTGCTTGCGATTTCTGAGGTTATGACACAGGGCCAAAATGACGCCCACAATGGCAATCAGTGAACCAACCTGTAGCATGGTCCACGTTGACCAGTACAGCGACATGAGGTCTTCGCCGTCGCAGAACTGTAGCGCCAAAAGGGCGTATGCCTCCATCACAACGACAACGGTAGACACGGCCAAGCATCCTAGACAGATGTAGATGTATGTGCGGAGCACTTTTGCTCGTTGGTGTGTATGAGTCCCAAGGGTCTCGATTGCCTTTTGAGCTCTGCATGATGCCACGTCAGTGTCAATCTTGCGAGCGAAGACGTTTCGATAGACAGGGGGTTGCCCACGCACTTGGAATACACCCATGAACCAAAAAATAACACAATCAAGTTTGTTATGAACATGGTCCAGTATATTATCTTAAATTTCCACTTGTCGAGATGCGAAGCAAACTGTGCATATACTTGACAGAGTTGCGGATCGACGTCGAATGATCCCGCCATGGCTGACGTTGTGGGATAATCAACATGTAGTACAGCTAGTTAGTAGCCAATTAGCCTCGAGACTTGCTGTAAATTACTCCGCCTTGAGATAGATCAATTAAAGGATGAATATCTATCAAGAGAGAAATCATGGAGGTAACCAATTTTTGAGAGAGGGTTGATATGGCGGACCGTTTGGTGTTCATGAAGTGCTGGCTGACATGGCTCTTTAATACACGGGTTCTAGTTTCAGGCAACGAGCCGAAGAAATACAGTCCCGCAAACATGGGCCAGTAAATAAGACTGATGACAGCATTTATGACGCGCAAGCCATCAATGGCACACGGCCGTGCTAAGATGCTGCCAAGCCTGAGTTGGCTCTGCTTGCAAATGCCCAAGAGTGGAACTGGCTGGCAAGGGATCACCGGTAGCAGATTCCGTGAATACTGGGACATTAAGTTTAGTCGTACAAAATTCCAATATACAAAGAAAGCCTCTTGGCCCCCACGAATGTAGATTTGACACCCCGTCCCCGTATCCCGCCGAATCCGTGGCATTCAGCCGTTCCCACCACGACCTGGGGTCAGACGGAAGCCCAGCTCGAGGTGCTAGATAAGGCAGAGTGGCTTCAGACCCCACGAGGATTTAGCATTATTCCCATCAAGATTCGCAATATCTAGGCATCCGAGGGTGGCTGTCGCAGGAGTATAAGCACGGCCCCAAAGCCCCGGCGGCCTGTTGCCAGGACGCTCGACAAAGCATGGATGTGACAGGGCACGTCACAACTGCCTTCCAACAGAACGTACACGTCCTTTTGAGACCCCAAGCATGGCTGAGCATGTCAATCAAGCGCCGCAATGGTCGAGATCGACAATATTTGCTCACAACAGTACGTTGGCCAAGGCGCTCGGTGCGAGTGATCCGACAAGCTCCGGCCATGCGCTGTTGGCTTCAAGCCGACCATTCAAGGCCTGGCTACGTATTTGATAAAGAGGAGTGGCTGGCTATTGCCGAAAGTGCGGCTACTCATCCCTCCCAGTGTACGGAGTACTTGCACAGGCTAATCTGGTGTATAAAGGACTTGAAAAGGGGGTAGGGTGGTAAGCATAGCCCAGTCCGGATGCACGCCTCGACTAATCAAGTTCGACGGTAGACCGCATCGGAGATGAGCTGCCGTGCCGTAGCCAAGATTCGTTATGCTTAATTTAGTGTTGGGAGGCAAACTAGATCGCCATTCGAAGTACCGGGCGTCATGAAACAAAGATGCTCACGTAGTCGGTCGCCAAACTCATGCGGCGATTTTAAGCAAACCTTTTTGGGACAGAAATACAACGTCGCAATGAGTAATGACACCCATTGACCTTGTCTCTAGGCCACGAGCCGAAGGCCGGTACGACCCAAGCATGCGCAAGCTCCGAAAGCTGTGAGCCCGGCCCCTTGGACTGAGACATTGTATGACAACTCGGCCACAAGAGCGCCCGTGCCAAGACCACAGAGATAAGAGTCCATCATCTTTTTCACTTTTGAATCCGCCCAACAAATACCAGTGTCCGTTGGTCGGGGTTGGGAAGCACGCTTGTGGTGGGACGACGAGGAGAAACTTGGCCATAAGTTATAACCTGGGGGCCGCGGGCGTACTGTACTCCCACGCGTTGCTTGCTTGTTATTTTCGGTAGGCCATACATGCCCCTACATGATGTAGATGGGCCAAATTGCGTAAAAAAAAAGAAAGAGAAAGAAGCGAAATGATGTTGGGTCATCTGATTCGTGAACAGCCCAGGATCATTGCTAACGTCTAAAATATTCTTACCACTTGCACTTGTCTCTCTGTCTGTGAGAGAAGAGCGGGCGCGCCCCCGGAAGTGTACTAATCTACGTTGACGACTTAGTTTCCGACTAACACGCCGTGTTTCGAACTACGGCTGTGGTTGTGGCCATGATGGCCGTCTTCGTCCATGTCCTCGGCATCGTCTTCTTCAATCCAATCTGGGAACCCGTCGTCAAACACGTCCTGCAGTGCATCAACACGCAGCGAGTCATCGAGCCCACCGTCTCTCATGACCTTCTCCCACTCCTCCATCTCCCCGTCGGTAAGCAAACACTCGTCCAGGAGCTTCTCCAGGTTTGCATGGTCTAGCTTCTCGCCAATAAAGACTAGCTCTTGTCGGCGATCACCCCACTCACCGCCCTTCATGATGTCGTGCTGTACAAGAGAATCGACGTCCTTGTCACCGGTAGTATACTCTTCCGGCGGTAGCGTGCAGAACCAGGGCCGTCCGCCCGTCAGTGTTAGCATGGCACCGGCTTGTGACCAGTCTCCCGCCCGATGGGGGCGGGTGGCCAGGAAGAATTCGCCCTTTGATCGGAAAAGACGCCTAAATATAGGGTGGGCGCGTTTATTGGCCAGGATCGTTGCGTTGGGTGGGATGTCCATGTCAACGTCGATATCCATGGCCGTGTCGTCGTCTGTGTGCTTCCGTGGTTCCCCTTCAAGAGATGGCGCAGTTCGAGCTGTAGATGCGGAGCTCTTCTCAGACTGTTCCGAATCGCTTCCACGTCTGTCCGATCCTGAAACTGATCCTGAGCTGCGTGGATCGTCCTGCCCGGTCATGCTGGAGTCTTGTTCGTCAAGCTCATCATCTTCGTCATCTTCTTCATCGGGATGCTCCCTTTGAAGAATAAACTTGTCATATATCAAGCCAAATAGCCTTCGAGGGTGAAAAGGCCTGCGTCGGGTGTAGATGAAACTCTGGACATTGTATTCCTCAGTCTCTGGCTTGGGTGTTGCAACATTTCGTCCATTGACCTGTGAAAGTGGATGTCAGCCCACAAACTCGTATTCTAAAAAGGTGATAGATCACCTTACCTCGCGCACCGTCATTTCGTGAAGGTCTTGCAGCCATCCGTACCCAGACTGGGCGACGTCCAGCTTGAACAAGCCAGTGTTGACGAGTTCTTTGACCTCGACCTTGCCGCGAGTAGACTGGATAATCTTGGCTCGGTGGTTGAGCTTCTTAACCAAGCTTATAGCCGCCGTTTTAGTTTCCTCGTCAATCTAGGGGCAAAATTGTGAGTATTTTGTTCTGCTTTTTTTATCTTTCGTAACCTTCAGCTTTTCAAAACTCACCATGTCGACTTTGTTAAGAATGATGACATCAGCAAATTCAATCTGGTCAACCATCAAATCCGAAACCGTTCGTTCATCCTCCGGGGTGACGTCGTCGCGACGAGACGAAAGAATATCCGCAGTATCAAAGTCGTTTAGCATGGTGAAAGCATCAATCACCGTGACCGTTGTATCGAGATGAGCGAACTTTTCCAGCCCACCCGCAGCTTTACTATGGATTTGTTAGCGGGCATTACAGCTAGGACAGACCTACACCATATACTCACATCTGTTTGAGCACTCTCACTGTATTTTCGTCTAATGGCATGGTAGTATCTGCGCTTGCTAGGTCGCCCATCTGTTCTGCAAGGCGAGCGTCGAAGGTTTCAGCCACTTGCTCTGGCTCACTAATGCCACTGCTCTCGATGATGATGTAGTCAAACTCTTCGAGCTGAGAGATGCGCACCAATTCTTCAAGGAGATCCCCTCTCAGTGTGCAACAGATGCATCCATTCTGTAAGGCAATGACCTTTTCCTCTGTTCTTGTCAGTTTGTGCGTTTTCTTGATCAGGGCGGCATCGATGTTGATCCTGCACAACAACAATTAGCACAATCCTACAGCATCATGCAGCCCACATACGCTCCAATGTCATTGACGACGACGGCTATTTTGAGCCCATGTTCCGTGCGGAGAATGTGCTGCAACAGAGTCGTCTTTCCAGCCCCCTGTAAGTCATCGTTAGAGTGAGGGTCCTGACTGTATCAAGCCAAAGAAAGACAAACCAAAAATCCCGAAAGCAGAGTAACCGGGAGAGACCTCTTAGGAACATGAATCTTGACAGACTTCTTTTTAGACTTTTTACTAGCCGAAGGTCGGCCTATGCGTCGAGAGGCACCCATTGTTTTTAGGATGATGGCTTTTGCGACAACCAAGATTGATAAAGGCAAGTAGTCGATGCTGTATTTTAGAACAGAAACAGAGCTTATATAGCACAGGAATTTGATAGTCCGCGCGTCTTCCAGGGCTCAAACCCATCTATTGCATCTGTCCTACTAGCTCGTAGTTTCTATCTACTTGGAGATACATCGCCAGATGTGTCCATCAAGGTTGTGGCCAAAGACCATCAAGGTAATGTTGCAAATTAATGATGACATTTAGATTGACATGATTGGTTGGTTGAAATGCAGTGGTCCGTATCATGTCCTCCCTCTGTCGTAAATTGAATATCATCCTGTGCGCGGCTGCAATACCGGTGGCCTGTTGCGCCAGGAATAAGGACAAAGAGGTACGTCGTGCTCCTGCTCTCTCTCGGTCACGGCGTACGATTGAAATTTGAGAATAAATGTTGACGTGAAAATAAATACCTCTGCCAAGTGGATACGACGCCTTGGTTGGAACTACAAGCTCGGCTAAGCTATTATACACGCTAATACTAAAGCTTGATAAAGGTGATAAATAGTAATAAATAAGGATTTAAGAAGAAGCTTATTTAAGAGGGTATATTAGATAATACCTATATAAATTAAAGTTGTAAAGCTAAATATAATTACTAGATATTAAAGAGTTAATTATTATAACTTGGTAAATTAAAAAATAAACTGAAATAAAAGAAAAGTCTTAATATTAAAATAAAAGTTATAAATAAAGTTTATAGCACTTGAAATAATACAATAAAGCCAAGTGCGACGGTCTAGACCACTAAACTAAGCGACAGTTAACGCCGTTTTTCAGGGCATCCTCTAGACCTCCACACAGACTAGTGACTGCTTATATAAGTACATATGTATTCACCCCGCTAAGTTCCCGACAACTCGCTTCTCAAGGCCACGCGTCGCGCTTAGATTGCGTTTCGCTATTAGTGTGTAGTGTGCAGTTAAATTAATCACTCGTAAAGGACTTTTAAATTTATTAATCGCAACTTAATTAAAGCATTTTCGAAATTATAGTTCTATATTCTCTCTAGTAAGACATTTAAACACCTTTCTTCCCGGTTCTCTCTACTATTAAGTCTATCCTATTCTTCTTAAAATCCGTCTTCTCTAGACATTTTATCCCCATGTAATATACTCGCTTATTTACAACCGCTCTTTCTCGTATAGAAACTAAGCTGGACGATTTTACGCTTCTAGCTATTCCTTAACGCTAGAGTATTAACTGTAGTGTAGTTTTATAGTTTTATAGTTTTTATAGTTTTAAATATAAAAAATTATATTAAATCTAATAAAATACTTATAAGATTATAAGTTTTACGAATAAATAGTATAAATCTTCTACTATAAGCTAACATAAAAAAGTGGGTCCTTATA